GTTAGTGGCAGCTGGCACTTTAAGCCGAACACCAAACACTTGCTCAAAAATAAAAATAAAGCCAAGTGGTAATAGGCGTTCAAGCCGAGCGCCAGGCATTCAGCAAAGTTAGTGGCAGCTGGCACTTCGAGCCGAACGCCAAACACTTGCTCAAAAATAAAAATAAAGCCAAGTGGCAAAAGGCGTTTAAGCCGAGCGCCAGGCACTCAGCAAAGATAGTGGAAGCTGGCACTGCGAGCCAAACGCCGAACGCCGAACACTTGCTCAAAATAAAGTAAAGCCGCTCAAAATAAAATAAAGCCAGAACGGTGACAAGGCCGAACACCAAACACTTGTGAAAATACACAGCAAAGCTGAAAATGGGAAACTTGAAGGATGGAAGTCATGCTGAGCAAAAGCATTGTCATTCATTACAAAAAGGTCCTAAAGTACATAGCTTGATACATGAAGATAAAAATATAAAAAAATAAAAAAATAAAAAATAAAAAATAAAAAAAATCCTACTACAGGATGTCAGTTCTGATGATCTTCTCCAGGTTGTGACCTGTCGTTCTCCCCACCATCATCCTCTGGACCATTGAGGTCTTCTCCATTCTCAGCTGCCCTATCATCCTTAGAAGGGGAGTCAAGATGAATCACTCTCTCAGCAGGTATAGGTCTGTCAGTAACAACTGAGGAAGAGGGCACAATGGTAGAAAGGGGAAGAATATTCTAAGGATGAAAGGGTGGAACAATTCCTGAGGATGCAACCTCTATGCACTCGATGAAGATATTCTCAGCCGGTTCACAGGGTGGGTTTTGATAATTATTTGGGGGGTGGATATCCAGAGAAATATCTAATTCATCTGGACCAACACAAGAGCTTGATTCGCCTTCAGGGGGAGAACGGTTAATAAAACCGTCTCTGTACCCTTCAGCATACCGGATGGCACTGGTTCTGGTGAAACGAGCAAGGAGAGCTTTCATACCCCTTTCGACTTTGCCAATCATGTTCAGCAAGGAAGACCGTTCGTTTAAGAGCTTCTCCTGTGAGTTCGCATGAGACAACCGTTCAGCAATGAATGAGCGCTGAAGGTCTCCCTTCTCAGCTTTGAGAGAGGCCCTTTCTGTTAGAGCAACACTCTTCTCAGTTTTCAAGACATCAACCTCATCCTGGAGAGAATCCCGTTCGGTCTTCAGGGTATCCCGTACAGCTCTGAGGGAATCCCTCTCATTTGCCAGACCGTCCTTCTCTGCCTTTAAGTCAACAACCCCTTTCTCTGACTCGCTCAGCTTAGACTCCAGCTCAGCAACTTTGGCCTCAAGGAGATTCTTTGCTTCAACAGACCTTTTAAGGCCCACAGAGAGGGATTTAAGCTTTTTGTTCAGAGTTTCAATGGTTTTTTGGAAAGTGAACATCCCGAATAGAGTCTGCATGAAGGAAGGGAAATTCAGGTCAGACTAGCTACTAAAGAGTTATAGCAGAAAAGAAACGCATTTCAAGAAAAAAGAAGAGTCACCTCCATAGCAGCAGCTGGGAACCGCTGGAACATCTCACCAAAGGATAGCTTGTTCTGAATCTCAAGGTCCTTGGGGGTCCAGAAACCCTTGTAGAAAGCAAAGGAGGTGAGGGGGTCCTTATATATTGAGTCTGTGGGGCCAATGGTCGATCCATCTTCACAGCTGAGCAAAGGTCGGCATAGAAGAACGGATGGAGTTGGACCAGAGGTACTGGCTGATTCGCCTTCTGGAATGAAGAACCGGGCAGGGGGCAATGGTTCAGTAACCCTGAAGGAAGCCATCCTGATCCTCCGGGCTGGTGGGATATCACTCCGGTCATGACCGCCCTCAGGCATTGGCCTTTTTCCTAAACTTTTTTATGACAGACTAGCATTAGCTGGCCCTCCATTGTCTTGAGAATTTCCAGCATCCTGAGTGCTCTCTGAGAAAGTATCAGACGAGATGTTGGAAGGCATAATGATGGGAGCAGCAAGACGGATCTTAGCAGTATGGTCCACAATAGGGTTCTCAGCATGAGTGAGCTCAGAAGGCTCAACAGCAGAACGGTTTGTGACTTGAGTCACAGTTGGAACAATCACAACTTGCTCTGGGGCAGAGACAGCAAGGGAAGACGATGTGGAAGCAGGTGTAGATGATGATGTGATAGCAGGAGCGTTAGAAGGGGTGGAAGCAGAACGCCTCCTCCTGCTGAAAGATGGGATCTGAATGTTCTCCATTGTGGACCCTAAAAAAGAGATGTCAGAGAGATTATCAGATGTAAGCAAATCAATAGCTGAAGGGACATTGTTCAGCACACTTTCTTGCAAGCTGTCTAGCCTAGCCCTGCAGACGCTATAAACCAGTTCATCATAGGGAATTTGAAGGCATCTACAAAGAAAAGTGCAAAAACGGGGAAGACAACTTTCACAGTGGCATTCAGTATGATGTGTTTTCAGCTTTTTGTAGCCAAAGACAGAGCATGTTCCAAAGGAAGAAGGGATAGAGAAGGATTGGCCGAGCGGAGTCTGCCAATTCCCACTAACCACAATTAAGTTTCGTCTCCAACCTTTTTCAAATGAGTTCTTATCAGTGCAGATCGACCATTTGTCAATAGGGAAGAAGTGATAGTACAAATCATTTTGTGAAATCTTATTAATCCGATAGCAGAGGAGAAGGTCAATAATGTCAAGATTGAGACCCCTGTCACGATTCAAGAGCAGGAGGACTGAAATTACCCTAAGAAAGTTAGGGTTAACTTGCAGGGGGCAGAGCCCCAATTTGTTGAAAGCATAACAAAAGAATGGGTGTAGGGGGAACCTAATGACGTTCAAGTGAACGGCGGAGAATAAAACTTCCTCAGGAAGGAGACCCTCACCAGATCTCCCGACTAAGTTTATTGGATAGACTCTGAGAGAAACATCGCAAGGAATGCAATTCTTGGATCGAATGGCGTTCAGATTAGGGGGAGCCATAGAGAAGGGGAGGAGTCCTAGGCAGTAAAGGTGTTTTTTTTAAAGAGAGATTTAAAAAAAAAAACTGACCTTGAAAGTTTGTGATGAACGCAGCAACGGCACAGTAGCTAAAAATCGAAAAGGAAAAACTCGCCGGAGAAATTGAAAAAGGATCGCCGGAATGTGCAGGAAGGCAGCGGAGAGTAGAAGCGAAATATAAGAAGAAGGATGAAGGTTGAAAGACCGAAATTTTTAAAGAGGAAAAGTAAAGGCGACATGGAACTCAAAAGGTCAAGGCAAAAAGTGGCGCTGCAGATCTCGAAGCTTAGGTTTTTGTGCCAGCCGTTCGATTCCTCGTGTCATTGCTCCGAGCCGTCAGACCAAGATCGTGTCTTTTCAATAATCTCACCCTCATTAATGAGGGGAGAGATTATTGGGGGCAGATGAGGACACCAAAATGACCCGGGCTTGGTATGATCCATATTGCAAAGGACGGGTCGGGTATGGATAGACAGGATGGAGCAAGTTCACGCTGGATGGACCCAGGTCCATAAAGTTATTGCAGAAGCCCATATTAAAATGAGAGAAGTTGAGTGCAGGCAAAAGGGAGCAGATAAGGCCCAGGCCAGAGGAGGTTGTAACCGTCTATAAATAAGGGAAATCGAGAGGGAAAAGGGGTTAGAAAGATTGGGAGTGAAAAATTTCTCTCTGTGTAATTGGGGGAAATTCTTTGTACTTTCAATAACATTTCATGTTAAGTAGATGCATTGTTCAAATTTTGATAGGCTAGTTTTTAGATATTGTAAAAGAAAAGGAAGCATGTTTTCACATCCAAATAATGTAACTCATAATAAGCCTTACCAGATTCATTCGTTTGAAACTATTCTTTGTAGCCTAGCTGTAGCCATATCTCCCCAATAATATTTTTTAATTGCAGACAGGTGATCTCTACTCCCATAGCTTCAATTCACTTGCAAATTTTATTCAAACATTCTGCTTTCAATCTAATCTTGAGAGCTAACTCCTTCAATTTATTACGTTAGCGTCGGTTCTATTTTAATTCATTATCGTGTCAATTTTGGGTAACTCTTATAAACATAGTTATAATCTTTTATTTGCTTACTATCGCAACATTTTGGGGAAGAGATGGTGTACTTCCAAGTAAATTGAAAGCATGTTCCAAGAACCGAAGAGGAAGTAGAACATAGCTTGATTGCTGGGTTCTTGAGATCTTAGTTACAAAGAAACTTTTTGTTTGATTTCTTGGACTCGCTGCTCCATATTTTGACCCACTCAACCTAACAAAAACCTAAGGTGCTGTTTAATGAAATGGAAATTAAGCACTAAAATTTTTAAGAGCTAATTATAAATTTAGAATTTCTTTTATTCTTTTGAATTTTAAGTATTGTGTGTGCAGTGATAAAATTAAGTCTCGATCACTTAAAATTTTATCCCATTTTAAGCGACACTTGTTCTCTTAAGTTGTGTCCGTATCAGGTTACCAAATGCACTTAATTTTGAATAAACACGTAATTTATTAATACTCAAGTGCTGAATTCATTATTAAACAGTAAGCGTTACATAGACCACCCTCCCTCATCTCAATCCAAGGTAAAGAATCGAGCTTAAGTTGATCTCTGGGTTTAGCAATGTGGGTTAGAGGTCACACTGGCCTTTAATCTGACTCAACTGGCCCAGGTTACAGTCTTATGAGCGTGCAAATATCAACGCTCTTTAAACAAATTCAGATTTAAAATCGATGATAATGTCATACCAATATTGTGTGGAAGTCTGAAAATTATTCAAGATAGTGGTTTTGATATCCTCCAATTACCGGCATCTCCGTTAGAACTTTTTTGTTTAAAGTGTGCACTAAACTTTATAATTAGCGCATTCCGGTGGTAATGTGCTTTCTTATAGGTGATCTTTCCCTTCTTTCCACAAGGTCTTTTTGGTTGATAGAAATTTGTACTGGAACATAATTTGGGTTTCTTTTTGTTTCCCCCAGTAAGTACACAAGTTGATTTTCCGTTTGAACTATTTCCTCTATGTTTATCCTGGTGCATGTAGAACTCAGTACCTGTGCGGGATGATTTGGGTTGTTCAGCACCTGCTTCCAGGCTTCCTTCTCGGCCTGCTAGCCGAAATGCTTTTGATGAACATAACGAGATTGCAGTTTCTGCCGAAGCTGAGCTGGCTCATTTGCGTGGTGAATTGACATCTGCAGATACTGTACAAGCTGGTATGAATGTCCAGAACTTGTCTGCTTCCCGAAATGTTGGTGCTCCTATATCATATTCTTATGCGGCTGTATTGGGTGCTTCCTTATCTCGGAGTACAACACCGGATCCCCAACTTGTCGCTAGGAGTCCCAGTCCTTGTCTGGCTCCTATCGGCGGAGAGAGAACATGCACATCAGGGAAAAAAAGCTTTAATAGTCCAAACTCATTCAGTGGTGTCTCGTCTACCATGAGTGAATCTACTGATTTGGTGGCTGCTTTGTCTGGCATGAACCTGTCTAATGCTGTGATAGATGAAGTGAACCATTTGCCGCCACAGATTGGACAGGATATTGATGACCACAAGAATTTTTACTTCGATCATCAAGGTGGTCAGAATAATATCAAACAACATTCATACATGAAGAAGTCTGAATCTGGGCATTTGCATATGCCTTCTGCTCCACTGTCAGCAAAAGTATCATACTCTGATTCAAGCAGGAGCAGTGGGGCTGTATCAGACCTTGGTAACTCGTCCTTGGTACAGAATAAGAAGGTTGACCTGCCTAATACTGCCATTTCCCCCAATAATTTATACCTAAAAGGAACATCTGATAACAATGGAGGGGGTTTACCTTCTTATTATCAGCATGCGGATAGTGCAAATTTATCATTTTCGAACTATGGTTTAAATGGGTACTCAATAAATCCTGCAATGCAGTCCATGATCGCAAGCCATCGTGGCACTTCTAATCTGCCACCTTTGTATGAAACTGTGTTGGGGGGACGCTTGCCTTCTGGATTGAATCTAAGCGCTGCAACATCAGAATCACAGAATCTGAGCAGCATCGAGAACCAGTTGGCTGGGAATGCACTTCATGCACCTTTTGTGGATCCAATGTATCTTCAGTACTTGAGGAGTATTGATTATGCTACTCAACAGGTTGCAGCTTATAATGATCCCTCTATGGATAGGAGTTATTTGGGGAACTCATACATGGACTTACTTCAGAAAGCTTATCTGGGAGCTCAGGTTTCACCTCAAAAATCCCAGTATGGTGTTCCCTTTGGCACAAAATCTAGTGGTTCTAACCACCATGGTTACTATAGTACTCCTGCTTATGGTGTTGGCTTGCCATATCCTGGAAGTCCCTTGTCGAGCCCTGTATTTCCGAACTCTCCTGTTGGCCCTGGTAGTCCTATGAGAAACTGTGAGCTTAATATGCGATTTCCTTCTGGTATGAGAAACTTGGGGACAGGTGTAATTGGACCCTGGCACTTGGAGGCCGGTTGTAATGTAGATGATAGCTTTGCATCCTCTTTGCTGGAAGAGTTTAAGAGCAATAAAACTAGGTCTTTTGAACTTTCAGAAATTGCAGGTTATGTTGTTGAGTTCAGGTATGTTCCGCATATTATATTTTTTGTGCTTGAATGCTGTGGACTGTTCCTGAAACTTGAATCTCTGATTTAACATCCTCTATGAGCAGTGCGGATCAGTATGGGAGCCGATTCATTCAACAAAAGCTTGAAACAGCCACAACAGAGGAGAAAAACATGGTTTTCCAGGAAATCATCCCCCAGGCTCTAACCTTGATGACTGATGTGTTTGGTAACTATGTGATCCAAAAGGTACCCAGATTTCTAAATGTCTCTTGGCTCATACAAGTGCTAAATATATGCATATACACAAATGCATGATTATGTTTGTACACTATTTTAATGGATTTTACATGTGTGATGAACTGATGATTTGTTATTTTTCTTTAGTTTTTTGAGCATGGAGTTTCATCTCAGAGAAGGGAATTTGCTAGCAAGCTTTTTGGGCATGTGCTGACACTTAGCCTGCAAATGTATGGTTGTCGGGTGATCCAGAAGGTAGCATCAGTATTGAAGCATATTGATGTTTCTCTATATACTTTACTTCTTCACATAATTTTTTTCGTTTTTTTCGTTTCATGATCTTGCCATTGTGCCACCAAAACTTTACCTTTGTCATTTTTAGATCTAATGATCAGCCATGTATACGTGGTGTTATATGGATATGCATTTAATTTTATAATATGTATGTATTGTATTGTATTGTGGAATAAGCTTGCAACTTCTTAACATTTTCAGTGATTTTTATTTTTGGAAAACATAGAATAATTCTTACATTGTTGTGTTGTCAGAAGTGGCAATGTCAATTTTTTTGTTCAGGAGAAAAATGTAAAACGACAACTTTTCCTCTTTTATTGAATTTTTTTTTTCTTTTGTCATTCTGGGGCTGCTTAATTTTTTTTTATCTAGGAGCAGCTGTCTTGCCTCATTGTTAGTTACATTTATTATGATATCATACTATGAATATGTGGGGCTAATTCAACAATTACTGGAGATCAAGGATTCTTGGTTTTTATGAAGTCACCATTGCTAATTGAATTGGGTCGTGTGATTTATCCTAGGTTTGAAGTGAAGGTTCTGGTAACTAATACAATTTCTTAACAATTCAGGCAATAGAAGTTGTTGATCTGGACCAGAAGATTAAAATGGTTGGGGAGCTAGATGGTCATGTCATGCGCTGTGTACGTGATCAGAATGGTAATCATGTCATCCAGAAGTGTATCGAATGTGTTCCTGAGGAACATATTGAATTCATCATCTCAACATTTTTTGATCAAGTTGTGACCCTTTCCACCCATCCATATGGGTGCCGAGTGATACAGGTAATTTTTTTAAAATCAATTATTTGTCTGCTTCAGTGTTATTAAAGGGCCAAGGCGCACTCAGGCGCTAGAGGCCTCTAGAGCCTAGGGCAAGGTGAGGCGCCCACCTGAGTAAAGTGAGGCGCGCACCTGAGTAAAGTGAGGCGCATAATGGAAAAAATTAAATTACTATTAAAGTATTCATATTCCATATAAAAGGCACAGATGTTGTCAAAGGCGCACTTGGGCACACAACAGGCTCAAGTCTTGTGCCTGTATGAGCCTGGAGCCTAGGCTGTGCCTAGGCGCCCCTTTGACAACACTTCTACTTAAGTTTTAGACTTGAAAGGGAGAAGTGTATTTCTGTACTGATGTTTTTCATGTGAAGCAGAGAGTATTGGAACACTGCAGGGACCCTAAAACCGATAGTAAAATGATGTGTGAGATCTTAGGATCTGTTAGCATGTTGGCACAAGATCAGTACGGCAATTATGTCATTCAGGTTTGTAACCTATTCTTTGATATCCGGTATGGACCATATATACGATTTTTTCTTTTCTAGGGTAGTTACATATCTACCTAACCAAGATATGTCGTGTTTGCCTATACTTTTTAAATTGCTTGATGACAACAGGAGTTAAAAGAGTTTATATGTTAGAAATTACCGTGGTAAAACACCAAACGATGTTGTGGCCAATAGCTTTGACAAGACCTATATCTCAGTGGTTTGTATCCCACTTAATTCTTCAGGGCCAATAAAAACTCAACCACCTTTTCCAACCCCAACACTTGCCCCTGTGACCCTCTCTCCCCCCCACCCCCCCTCCCCCAACACACACACACACAATCTTACACTAGATATTCCTGATGCCAATGTTAATAAGTTGGGACATTAACTCTCAACATGGATTTTTTATTCAAATGGTGAAGCCATTTTTCAAAATGGGGCCTAAAAGGTGTGTTCTTCTTGAATCCTTGGTTAATAATTGTGTGAGACATATTAACCAAGTGCTTCGCCATTTTTAAGGATCTAATTGGATATGTTTGTGCATATGCAGGTGGTTTCGTTAAGTGTAATTAGATATTGTTGCACATGTTATCATACTCTTTCTTTGTTGTGATTGATTTCTGAGTTCCTATTGTTGTTGTGGGCTTCACAAGTGTTTGTTCTGCCTGGATTATGTTATCCATATCATGATATCTCTGTGGTTTCTTCTTGTGTTGATCATTGGATTTATTTGTACAGCATGTACTGGAGCATGGAAAGCCACATGAACGTTCTACAATAATAAAGGAATTAGCAGGAAGAATAGTTCAAATGAGCCAGCAGAAGTTTGCCTCCAATGTTGTAGAGAAGTGTTTAATTTTTGGTGGTCCTGCTGAACGTCTGCTCCTTGTGAATGAGATGCTTGGCTCTACTGATGAAAATGAGCCTCTTCAGGTCCGTCCACCACTGTTTGCTTTCTGTAACTAACTATATGAAATGGTTATAACTGCCCTCAACCAACATTCTTTTAACTGATAACATTTTCATTTTTCACTCACTCCTTTTTTCATGTGTCTCACTGTACATGGTGTTGCAATTTTCTGTAGTAGTTTATCATAGAAATCAAAAATCTAATTGGGACAGAACATTTCATGTTTTGCTCATTTATTTAATGTCATAATGAAAAATCCAAGATTTTGTAACCTAGTTTGGTCAACTACTGTGTCCTTAATATAGTCTTTTTATGGTACCAAGTATGATCTATAATAGCCTTGTCTGATACAGTAACCAAGTTATATAATAATTACTGTGGATAGTCAGCTCAGGAATGGATATTGGTTTAACATTTACTATAAAAATTTGTTATGTGATAATCTTATTAGTAGTTAATTATAAATTTCCATATATTTATGTTATGTATATTTATATATCTATGGATGCATGTAGCTACATGTATATTTAAACATAAATAAATTTGTTGTATAGTTTCCTATAATAATTACTAATATAAATAGTTATTTCTATATAATAGTTGGTTGATTTTCAGAAGTAAAAAAATTATAAGGTAATGGAATAAATAATCATCCATCACAGAACCAAGTTGGTTCTTAAAATAGTTATTAGTTGTGGGGTTACTAGTCTGTTGGAGCTGTATACAAAGCTAAAACCTGCTATCCGTTTGAAATGAGAGCCCCTAGTTTGGACATACCTTTAGTGCTATTTGATAGACGTGCTGGATCTTTTCCCTTCGGAATTACAGCAGCTGAACTTAGAAATCTAGGGTGTAGGCGGGGGTGGATCTAGGAATTCTGGTGGGGGGCACTCTAGAATACAAGCATTAAGAAAAAAATTGTCGTATTTTCGCTTTTAACAAAATACCAGTGTATTTTCTTAATATAAAAGATCTAAGAGAAGATTACTTATAAAGCAAAAGTATTTTATAATCATTAATTCATAGATGCAAAATCAGTCTATCCATTTTTTTCATAGATGTACAGAAAAATGTCAATATTTTGAGAGGGGAGCCATATCTTTTTAAAGTTGATATTTTTGTGGGGGCCACACTGTAAATTTCTAAAGTTCACACAGCAGTGAGATTTGAAGTGGTCCGCCCGAGTGTAGGCCTGTTGAGATTTAAAGTTCACACAGCAGTGAATAAGTATGCATATTTAGTTACAGCTTCTCATGTTTATTGTTTTGTATCCAGGCAATGATGAAAGATCAATTTGCAAATTATGTCGTGCAAAAGGTATTGGAAACTTGTGATGATCAGCAACGCGAGCTGATCCTGTCTCGTATTAAAGTTCATCTGAATGCATTGAAGAAGTACACTTACGGAAAACATATTGTTGCTCGTGTAGAGAAACTAGTTGCTGCTGGAGGTACTTATTCCCCCTCTTTCACTCATGCTACTACACTGTTCTTTCAGGCAATAACATTGCATTATAACAAGCTTTTGTGGGATTTTTGCTGTTTCCTTTGTGGCCGGTTAACTTTAACCCAATTGGGTTTTACTTCTAGTCCATCATCTTTCTTTGTAGTTTGTTAAAATACTTCCAATGCTTTGTTCAAGTATTCCCTCAATAAAAAATAATAATGATTTTTTTTCAATATATAAGTAGTTTTCTAAGTACTTAATTCTGTTTGTTTGCAGAAAGGAGAATTGCTGCTCAGTCTCTCCACACAGTGTAGTTGCCGTAGGAAAGAAGGTTGTTGTACAGCTAACTGAGGCTAGTTTGAGCTACCTCTTTCTCTCTCGTATGTAGTTTTGCGGCTGTATCTATCTTTAAAATACAGGTGTCAGCTGTATTGGAAATAAAATTGTTGCTTGTACTAGAAAACTGTACATTTTGTAGTTTAAGGTTTATACGTAGAATCAAGTTAGCAGAGGCTCAGATCAGAAGAGGAGTGCTACTCCTGATGCCCCTACATAAGAGAGAAAAGTGAAGATACAAGTATTAAAAGGTGTAAAAATGGGAAAATGTTGAGGTAGTTTATGTTTTAACGTGACTGTACAAATGTTGCCATGTGGAGACTTGTCAATGCTTGGGATGCTCGAAATTTTCATGTAATGGTATTGACATTTTTTCTGATACATGGCGAGTATAATGTTAAGGTCTCTTTCTTTGTTTATATCTTTTTGTGGTGATTTTGTTGTTTAATACGTGCATCTAATTTCTTCTCTTACGTAATTTGTCTAAGGTGATTTGTTCTTTCTTTTCTTTTTTCTCTCTTTTTCTTATAGGATCTCATTTTACTTTATTGTCTGCTATTCTTAAATTCATTTCGGGGGTGCAATAGTAAAAACACTAGTGATGCTGCTGCCTTTGCTTTTATTGTCATAGTTTGCTTAACCTGTCGCGTTGGTAGAGTTTTGGACCAATGATCCAAGACAATTCTCAATTATCAACCTGTCGTGTTGGTAGAGTTCATAACAAATTGCATGAAATACAAACACAAGGAGTGTATTCTTTCCATCTAAAAAAATATGTATATGATTTTTCTTTCAAGTAATCGCTTGCTCTGTGTAATCGGCTCTTTACCGCCTACGCACCCCTCTTTGTTATATGTTAGGTTGACTGCCTAAAACTGTTAATTTGAGATGAACATAAATTATATGATTGGTTTTAGGAAAAAAAATAAAATAAAGGAAAATCATGATTTATTATTATTATTATTATTATTTTTAGTGCTACTTAGAATTCATAAAAGCATGACAAAACTGGCGAGCCCACGTGCCAGATCACATGGCCTCAATTAATTCCAACTAGGTCAAATGTCTTCACCTCCCCACATGCCCGTGGGTTCTAGGTTACATGCTGCTACACCGATACTTTGCATGGCATAAAAAAAGTGGAGTTTTTTTTAAGTCTTTCCGAGCAATGTGCATAAGAAGAGTCGGGTTCTTTTTAAAGGCTTTCAGAATCATGTGTGGACTGTGGAAGTAGGGAGGGTTGGATGATTTTAAAATGTTGAAAAGATTATATATATTTGTTGAGGATAGAGAATATTCTAGAAGAATAGGAAATTTGGTAGAATAGTAGACATTTAGATATGACCCTTATAAATAGGGTGAGGATCTCAAGAAAAGAGGGGCAGAACTATAAAAATACTTGTTTATAAGAATTATACCAGCGACCTTAGTGCTAATGTTTTTGTTTACGGTTCATCACATATAGCATTTTGATCTCTGCCCTGCAAATTGCGTATAAGGTTCTTGTTTATTTGTTTCCTGTTTATCAGATATGGTCATTTTGATCTGCGGTGTAACTTACGTGTAAAGAAACATTGTAGTAATTCTGTTCTTATATATGTGATAACTTATTTCAAGGTATTACTATTCTATTGCAACTTATTATTTTTGCAAAATTGACTGTTAACGGTTTATTTAATTGAACACATATATATATATATATTTCAAAGTTGTATTTTGAGTTTTTTTAAAGGTATTTTGTGTTATATTATATTTTGAGTTTGTTATTTTCGTTTAATGATTGGGTTATACAATAGGCCCTCTCTTACCCTAAATTGTCCCCTCCTCTCCCGATCTCCGTTGAAACAAATGTAAAATATCTTCTCAAAAAAAACATTTTCTATATGAAACATTTTGAGGTAATTTTTTTTTTAATTTTTTATTTTTTTACTTTTCGGTATTTAACAAAGGTCTTGAAAAAAAATATTTAGAACAAAAGCACCAGTCATTTTTTTCAGGTTTACTTAAATTTTGGACAACTAAACACCAAAAAATAAAAATAAAAATAAAAATAATAATTTCTAAAAAAATATTTTACGTAAAGCATTCAAATCTCTTTTAAGACTACCTAGAGACACTATTAGTTGGTGGTACCTTTAAACCTATATCCTAATTTTAGCTCCAAAAGAAACAATGTCTTCTTTTTTTTTTTTTTTTTTTTTTTTGATAAGTAAGATTTTATAAAAACGCTCAAAAGGGGAACGGAACCATGGAAACACAAGGGCCACAAGGCGCCTTAAACCTTTAAAGAGGCCAAAAATATAATAATCTCCTCAATAGATTTATAATCTCTCCCTGAAACCCAACAAAAAAGAGTGAAAATAATAGAGAATTCAAACGTAGAAATAGAAACACTGTCTTGACCTGACCACAAACCAAAATCCCAAGCCCGCCCGCCCACCTCCCAAGTACCACCCCACTAAGAAAAGAAGTAGTCCGGTGACTCGTGGAAGACTGGCTATTATTTAGATGTTGAATTATTTAAAAATGAAAATCATTTGATATCTCCACAAATTAATGGAATACAGGCTCGTACCATTCATTTCAGAAGCTCTGTTAATCGACCCTGCATAAAGTTGATTACACACTTATGAAGAGAAGACTATAAGTTTAGTAGGAGAGAAGAGTTGAGCAAAGAGGGACGGGAAGGAGAGAGCTGGCCAGCCTCAGAGTTTTCGAGGGAAAGGGAAAGTGTTGACAAGAATGACTTATTCACCTTTTAAGCCCTTTTGCCCTACAAGAGCCGTAATTCTTTTATATCATATACAGAGTACATCCATGAAAGACCCTTCCTTTCTACTTACCAAAGCAAAAGGAATATCATTCCCTAGATCTACATACCTCCTGTATCTCTCCCACTTCCTTTCCTTTTAGATTTTCACCACTCCTACCAAACAGAGCAGACTCCAAGTTGCTGTACAGTTTCCTTGGTTCAAAAATCTCTTCATTAATGATTGAAATCATTTTTCCGTCATGTTGAAAGAACAAGTAAATAATTACCACAAAGCAGTAGATGGAGGGTTGAAGTTTCATTGGGGCAAAGTTTTGAGTTTCAACTACTGAAAATAAAAAATAAAAAAAATTTAAAAAATGAACAAGTAAATTCACTTGCAGTATTTTCTTCTTACCCAAAAGATTTATTCTTATAAGAAGATGAATAAGCAATTGATTATTTCTATAGTTTGTACATGTATCTGTTTTCCCTATTTTATGAGACAAAATCTTTACTAAATTTCCAATACAAAAAGGAAACAAAAGAATTTAATCATATAACTCATACCATATAACAACTTTTTGGTTTTATTATAGGTCCACCTTGCTTTGGTGGTAGAGGCGTTTGTAACCATCCATTGCACCACCTCATCGTTGCAACGGTTGTAATGAATAATTTCTCGTTATAAAGGCCCATGCAAGGAGATTGATTATCTCCGTTGCTAGCCAAATGATCACAGTTTTAGATGATTGTAACTAGTAAGATCTGATATTCTAGATCAAACTAGGAGATTTTATTTATTTATTTATTTTTATGGACAAACTTCCATTCTCTTTTAAGTTTCACACTAGAGGAAAACGAAGTCTAAAGATTTCTTCTTTTAGCCTACAAATTCAATCAATGCTCTAACTTCTAATAACTCATTGAATTAGGAAGAACTTAACTCTTCTTTCCCCGAGGAATTCAAGCGGGAAACAAAAACTGTAAGCCAATCGACATCTACACAACTCTTTTCCCTTCTGAGTTATCAAAGGAGTTAAGGATACAAGGCTGCCAATGCTAATTCACACCAGCCTAAATTGCGGTACTGAATATCATTGGTCTACAAATTCGATGAATGGGGTAAAAGAAGTGTTGATGGTGATGTTACCGAACCTAGGTATAGCCTAATGTCACGGACTTGAACCTTTTCAAGCTCCCGTGCGGCCTTAGACACTTTCAAGCCCCCTTGAAGCACTAAGTCAGCCTACTCGAGTGTGCTAGCTTAGTGAAGACTAAGGCTAGATAAGTGTTTTGCTTACTTGGGTGTGTAGGAAGAGGTTAGGCAAGTGAGCAAGAGAGTTTGGGAATATATAGAACTTGTATTACTTGAGAGGAGAGATTACAACTTGGTTGCTTGGTGAGGAGCAAATGAACTCCCACCTCCTATTTATAGGCCTTTGGCCTTACAAGAACATTCTAGATGTGTACAAATGTGTGGCCTAGATTTAGTGTCTAGAATCCTCCAGAAATATCTACACAACTCTAGAACTATCTACTATGTACAAGACAAGTCTAGAGAATTCTAGAGAATTCTATACAACTCTAGACAAGTCTAGAAAAGGCTAGACAACTCCACACTAATCTAGAGAATTCCGGAAAGTTCCATACTTGTGTAGAGAAGTCTAGAAAGCTCCAATCCATGCAGGCTCCATGTCATCGTCTGCTGGGCGTCTGCGTGGCGCCTGCGTGGCATAGCCTCTTGGTAGCGGGGTGTGACATTCTCCCCCACCTAAGCTCGCGACGCCCTCGTCGCGTCTTCTTGCTTGAACCGCTGGATATGCTCTGCGAACTGCCATAGTGTATCCTCATGCTCCCAGCTCGCCTCGCTATCTGGCAGGTTCTTCCACTTCACTAAATACTCTGTATATTTGGGCACACCTTTTCCTGCTCATCACACGATCTGCAAGGATGCAATCAACTTCCTTGTCAAAGGATGTGACAACGGCCGTGGGTGCCCTATGCGATATGCCCCGAGTAAGGTCTTCCGTGTCTTCATGATAAGGCTTGAGCATACTGACATGGAAGACTGGATGTATCTTCAACTTGGGTGGAAGCTCCACCATGTAGGAGACCTTGCCCACCCGCTTGACGATGGGGAACGGGCCCTCGTACCTCCTTACTAGCCCCTTATGCACGCTCCGAAAGGACTTAAACTATTGGGGTAGTAGCTTAACCATCACCTGGTCTCCCACTATGTACTCCACCCGCCTTCGCTTGGTGTCGGCCCACTTCTTCATCTTCTTTGCCGCCTTGTCAAGGTACGCCCTAGCCAAGTCGGACTGCTCATGCCACCTCTTGGCAAATTTGTAGGCCGCCGGACTCTTACCATCGCAAGTTGAAGCAATGGCGTTGGGTGTCATAGGCTGCTGTCCGGTAACAACCTCAAATGGACTGTGATTGGTAGCCTCGCTCCGCTGCAAGTTGTAAGAAAACTGTGCCACTCCAAGGAGTTTGGCCCAATCTCGCTGGTTGGCACTCACATAGTGCCTTAAATAAAGCTCTAAGAGAGCGTTGATGCGCTCTGTCTGCCCATCTGATTGGGGGTGGAAACTCGTAGAGAAGTTAAGATCCGTCCCCATCTTCTTGAAGAGTCCCGTCCAAAATCTACCAGTGAAACGCGGGTCTCTATCACTGACAATATTCTGCGGAACTCCCCAAAGCTTGACCACATGGTCAACAAATAACTCTGCTGTCCTCTCTGCTGTGCAGTCTGCTGGTGCGGGTATGAAGGTGGCATATTTGCTGAACCGATCTACCACCACTATAATGCTCCCGCAACCCTCTGACTTGGGTAAGCAAGTGATGAAATCCATAGAGACGCTCTCCCATGGTCTCTCTGGAATAGGCAGTGGTTCTAGTAGGCCTGCAGGATGCTGTTGCTCAATCTTATCTTGTTGGCACACAAGACAAGTCCTCACATATGTCTCCACGTCATCTCGCATCCGAGGCCAATAGTAAGAATCTTCCAGGAGTGCTAGTGTGCGCCGCATACCTGGGTGACCAGCCCATTTGGTGTCGTGGCACTCCCGTATTAGCTCCTTCCGCAAGTTGCCCCACCTGGGCACAAAGAGTCGGTCCCCTGTAGTGAGAAGTAAATCATCCCTTAGCCAAAAGCGCCGAGTCTTCCCTTCCTTAGCTAGCTGAATAAGGCTTTTGGCTAGAGGGTCATGCTGCAACCCTTCTTTGATTCGCTCCACAAGAGAGTGTTGGGGCCGACTAATAGCTGCGAGCTCGGCCTTGCGACTAAGTGCATCCGCCACAACATTGGCCTTGCCCGGCTTATATTCGAAATGGTAAGTGAACTCCGCTAGGAAGTCCTGCCAACGAGCTTGCTTGGGGCTAAGCTTCTTCTGTGTCTGGAAGTAGCTGGTGGCAACATTATCCGTCTTGATCACAAATTGTGCCCCGAGCAAGTAGTGCCTCCAAGTACGTAGGCAATGGATGACCGCCGTCATTTCTTTTTCTTGCACAGTATAGCGCCGCTCAGTGTCATTAAGCTTGCGGCTCTCATAAGCTATGGGGTGTTCTTCCTGCATCAACACGCCCCCAATAGCGAAGTCTGATGCATCCGTGTGCACCTCATATGGCTTGGAGTGGTCGGGCAAGCTAAGTACCGGCTCCTCCGTAACTGCCCTCTTCAAGTCATCAAATGCCCCCTGGCACAACTCTGTCCAACTCCAAGCACGCGCCTTCTTGAGAAGGTCTGTCAATGGGGCTGCTCTCGCCGAGTAACCCTTGATAAAGCGGCGGTAGTAGTTGACAAGCCCAAGGAATGAGCGTAGCTCTGTCACCTTAGTAGGCGGCTCCCACTCTTGAATGGCCCTCACCTTTGCCTCATCCATCATCAGCTTGCCATCCCGTATCTTATGCCCTAGGAACAACACCTCCTCTTGGGCAAATGAGCATTTCTCCGTCTTCACATATAGGTCGTTCTCCCGTAGGACTTGGAAGACCGCCCTCAAGTGCTGCACGTGCTCCTTTAGAGTGGTGCTATACATAACAATATCATCCAAGTACACCACCACAAAGCGATCCAAGTAGGGATGGAAGAGCTTGTTCATCAAAGTACAAAAAGTAGCAGGTGCATTGGTGAGGCCAAACGGCATAACAAGAAACTCATAGGAGCCATACCTCGTTACACACGTAGTCTTAGGCTCATCCCCGTCCGCTATCCGCACCTGGTAGTACCCCGAGCGCAAGTCAAGCTTAGTGAAGTAGCGTGCTCCACCAAGCTGATCAAAGAGATCGGCAATGAGAGGAATGGGGTACTTATTTTTGATAGTCACCTTGTTGAGCGCCCGGTAGTCGATGCACATACGCAAGGACCCGTCCTTCTTCCTCTGGAACAACACCGGTGCGCCATATGGGGCCTTCGATGGTCGAATATAGCCCGCATCTAACAATTCCTTAAGTTGCCTCCGCAACTCCTCCAACTCTGGGGGTGCCATCCGGTAGGGCACCAAAGCAGGGGGTTTAGAACCCGGTTCCAGCTCAATCTTATGATCCACCTCCCTCCTAGGTGGAAGCTTCTTGGGCAGCTCCTTAGGCATCACGTCCGTGTACTCGTCTAGCACGGCTCGTATCTCCTTAGGCACCTCTTCTTGTGGGGAAGGGACTAGCTCATCTTCGAGTGTCTCCAGTAACGTAGCAAGGTAGCTAGTCTCTCCCTTCTTGAACTGCATAGCTGACAAAGCTTGGGCTTCCAACTTGGCGCCTCGCTCCACCGGCACCATGCATGTTGTGTTGCCTTCCATAATACACATAGTGTTGGCAAAAGGAATGGGGAAGGCTCTCACCTTGTCTAAGAACTCCAACCCAAGGACTAGTTTGAAGTCGTCCATGGGTACCACCGATAGATCTATGTGGCCACCCCACTCGCCAATGCATGCTTGGACGCCGTGTGCCATGCCATGTATAGCCTTTGCCGCCGAGTTAACTGCCTTCATGGAGCCCCCTTCTTTGCTATACTTGAGGCCCAACCTCTTGGCCTCGTCAAGGCTCACAAAGTTGTGGGATGCACCCGTATCCACCAAAGCACGTGTGGGTGTCCCATTGATGCTCGCCTCCACGAACATTAGCCCTTTAGCTGCCGCCTTAGGGACTTCAGTTTTAGCCTTAATGGCATTAAGGATTTGCAATGAACCCATCTGCGCCTCCTCCTGCTGTTGCTCTTCGTAGCGGCTTGTCATGGCATTGAGGGTCTTCCGCTTTGGGCAATCTCGTACCCAATGTGGTCCATCACATATGAAGCAAGAACCCTTAAGCTTGGGTGCTCCTTCCTTGTTCTCCCTTCCCTCTTTGCCTCCATGGCCACCACCTGGCTTACGGGACCAATCCTTGTGGGGTGCAGCGCCCTTGTCTCCCCCACCTTTGCCGGCATACCTCCCCTTGTCCTTGTCTTTGTCTTTTGGCTTGGACGAGGGTTCCTTCTTAGAGCTGAAATCAATAAAGGACTCCGCCTCTGCAATAGCTGTGGCAAGGTCTTGCACGTTGCGCCGCCTCAACTCCGTCTTAGCCCACAACTGCAATCCATCCATGAAGAAGAAAAGAGAGTCCTTGTCGGATAGATCCGGGATCTCAAGAGTCAAGTTAGTGAATTCCTTCACATAGTCCCGAATCGACCCAACCTGTTTTAGCCTTCGGAGTCTGCCCCTAGCTTCATCCTCGGCATTCTCAGGATAGAAATGCTTCTTGATTTCCCTAGTGAAATCAGCCCAAGTATCAATAGAGACCGTACCTTTGCCTATGTCACCATACTTTTTCCTCCACCATAGCATGGCATGGTCGGTGAGGTAGTGGGTCGCCGTACGTATCTTGATGGTCTCATCGGTCATGCCCGTAGCCTCAAAGTATTGCTCCATGCTGAAGAGGAAGTTCTCCAACTCCCTCGCTACCTGGTTCCCACCATAGCACTTAGGCTTGGGAATATCAACCAGGGGTGCTACTACCCCCGTAGTAGCTGTGCCGGACGCCACCGCCCGTTTGCACAATGTCCAGTCCGCTCGCATTTCCTCCATTTGCTTGCGGAAAGTGCCAAGCTCCTGATCAACATAACCACGTAGGGTGGCAAACTCCCCCAACATAAGTTCTCTAAGTGCTTGGAGCTCCTGCCGAAAGTCACCACTTAGGGCATTGAGTGACCCTTTGACAGCATTTTGGACCTCAGCATCCTCCGACTCCAGCCCATCCATGCGTTGGTGAGCATCCTCAAGCTGCTCCAACACGTTGGCTATGGACCCCTCCATGTTTGCCACACGTGCCTCTAAGCCCGCCATGATGTCCTTCGACCTAGCCCTCGTCCTCACTCCGCCTAGAGGGGGATTTGTTTCCCTTCCACGTAGAGTCTCCTCTTGGGTGCCAGTCACGTCTGATAGCTCCGCCATAGCTTCCTCCACACAAGGTGTGACGCCTCACGACCTTAGCTCTGATACCAACTGTCACGGACTTGAACCTTTTCAAGCTCCCGTGCGGCCTTAGACACTTTCAAGCCCCCTTGAAGCGCTAAGTCAACCTACTCGAGTGTGCTAGCTTAGTGAAGACTAAGGCTAGATAAGTGTTTTGCTTACTTGGGTGTGTAGGAAGAGGTTAGGCAAGTGAGCAAGAGAGTTTGGGAATATATAGAACTTGTATTACTTGAGAGGAGAGATTACAACTTGGTTGCTTGGTGAGGAGCAAATGAACTCCCACCTCCTATATATAGGCCTTTGGCCTTACAAGAACATTCTAGATGTGTACAAATGTGTGGCCTAGATTTAGTGTCTAGAATCCTCCAGAAATATCTACACAACTCTAGAACTATCTACTATGTACAAGACAAGTCTAGAGAATTCTAGAGAATTCTATACAACTCTAGACAAGTCTAGAAAAGGCTAGACAACTCCACACTAATCTAGAGAATTCCGGAAAGTTCCATACTTGTGTAGAGAAGTCTAGAAAGCTCCAATCCATGCAGGCTCCATGTCATCGTCTGCTGGGCGTCTGCGTGGCGCCTGCGTGGCATAGCCTCTTGGTAGCGGGGTGTGACACTAAGCTGCCTACGTATCCAGCTACGCGTAGCGTGATGGGAATTAGGTCAAACGTAGTTTGGCAACACCATTAGAAGACATTCTACAATTCCCCAAACAAGACTTTCCATAATTACTCATTATATCATAAGCTAGAACATATAAACAAAGAATGAGAAAATTTCATTTCCTCAAAATGTCAAGATAGAATTACAAAGACAATGAAAATCTTACATTCCGGAGTGCAATCTAATCATTCATCATCATCATCATATTCCTCAATCTTTTGTCCAAAACCTCTTGGTCCAGCTCTAGCTCTCACATTCCCCTTTTTACCACTCTTCTTCTTCTTTGCGGACTCCTCTTTCTCAAATCTCTCTCTCTCCCTCTTCTGCAAGAAATCTGTCACTGCTATGTAGATAACCTGGGGGGACAAGAACCACCACAAATCAGCAACAACCAACGTTCCAAAATCACAAATTAGCAACCACCCAAATTCCAAAATCACAAATTTCAGTCAATCCCTAAATAATTGCATCGATTTTTTTTTTATTTTTTTTCAAAAAAGAAAAAGAAAATAAAGAGCAAATCAGCTAGAGTACTTTACCCCTATAGTGAGAATGGATAGGCCAAGAAAAGCAATGAATAGAAGAACTGAGATTATGGTGGACACACCATCATCACCAGCAGAAACAACTATCTGCTCGGAATTCTCAACTGAATCTGAAACGAATTCATCTCCGGACAGTGCAGAGATTCTCCAATTTGGGTTGTTTCTTAGAGGAATTTGATGAGGTGGGTTGTGAAATTGTATGGTTCTTCTGGAGGTAAAAGACAGGGATGAAACATGGGTTTTGATGCACCAACCATGTTTTGGGTTGAGAATGGAGGAGGAGGAGGAGAAAGGTAACAGAGATAGAGATATGGATGTGGCAGCCATGTTTCGTCTGCTTTCCACTCTCTCTCTGTACATTGGCAAAAGAAGCGTCAAGTCACAAAGATGGGTATACAAGGGAATTCTAATTGGCTGTTGTCAGAGACGCCCTATCACTGTGTGAGCTACCAAGAAGCTGCTAGCTGCTGACAACTGTCCTATGAAATACTAGTTTTAATATGGTTAGATCAGGACATTTTGGGGGAGAGAAAAAAAACTTATGTAGCTAATTTCAAAATTATACAAGAAGAGTATAGATGATCTTATTATTATTATTATTATTATTATTATTATTATTATTTATCATAAGAGGATTAGAGATGATAACTAGTATCAAAGTTGAACAGATTCATGTAATCTACCATAAATAAATTTTAATTGATAATAATAGTTAGATGCGGGTTTCAATAATTATGTATTATCCCACTATAAGATAGTGGGTTATCATAAAATCAACTTCATAGTAACATTGCTCACTTAAAATTATGAGTGATGAATTTAATTTATTTGTACATAAAGGAATTGTGATATTAAACTGAAATATTTCAAGACTATTGAATGCATTAAAGTGGAACTCAACATGAATTCAAGCTCGGTTCCATAAAATGGACAATTTGTTTGGCAACCATAGTTGTTTTATGTTTTTGCTTTGACTCGAAGCAAAAATAATGTTTCCGTTTTAGGATGTGTTTAACATTATTTCAAAACTTGTTTAGTAACGTAAATTTGTTATAAAATTTTTTGAAACAAAAACGTGAAAGTTAGTTTGGTAAAAAGTGTTGTACTTTGAAATATTGAATGACTAGTTAAAAATATTAATTTAGAAAGATTTTTTTTTTTTTAAGAACAGTACTTTGTTATAGTGCGGAAGCAAACAAAAGTATCATTTTGATACTTCTGATTTTGACTTTAATTTGGAAAGCGTTTCGATACTATTCAAATGACAACAACCATTATCGAATATACTTTATGTTTTTGCTTTGTTACGTTACACTAACAAAAGCAAAATCTTTAGCCAAACAGGTATATAGTAACATTTCTAATCAAAATTTCCAAATAACAATCATTACCTCTTCCACGGTCATGCGCACTTGTTTGGTTTGGAAAGTTATATTACTTGTTCCTATTGGGCTTTCTTGTACTTTTAAGTTAGCGTTGGGCTAATTCCTTGCGGGTTGCGCTTTGTTCTCGTATTTATTCAATTGAAATTCAACTTTCAAAAAAAATATATATATATATATAGTGAGATCTAATCCATTTTATAATTAAATAACTAATTTAGTCGGATTATTCAATCAAAACTATTAATTTTTTTAATACGTAAACTTTGATCCAATAATTTATCTAATCCGCTTCTTGATTCATTTGACATAAGCAGATATGCTGACATCAGGAAAAAAAACATTAGTACTTAAAAACATGCCACATCGAATGCTTTCGAGATTAAAATAAAATTGTTATTACTTAATTGGCAGATTCAAGCTCTATGTTAAATGCCTCATAATAAATTACACTTAATGGTGGCAACATAATAATCTTTTTTTATTTATTATTTATGAGAAAAAGCTAGTGCACCCAATCGCTAATAAATTCTAATATTCAAATTGAAGCCCACTTTGGATGGATAGGGGTTTCAAATTTGAAGCACATTAATCTATTGTCACACATCACATTAATCTTAGAACTTATCATAAAAAACTATAACTTTTATTTGTAAATATATCTTAGTGAAACAAAACCCATAATCTATTTAAACTGAATTTAAACCCACATATAATATACATAACCAATAATATATTTTATACGATCAAATTAATTTGTGACATTATAATTTCTGAGGCACGAAATAATTGTGTCACAACTTTAATTTGATGTGTTGAAATAGAGGATAGCAAGGATAAAATACATTAAATTGAGAATGCAACATTATTATTCTTAAACCTTGATTTAATGTGTTGCAGCTTTCACTTAAATACAATAATTTGAAATTGTAACATGATCATTTCTAACTTCAAAATAATATTGCATTTTGATTTAATGCACCAAAGAGAGTAATGCTAAGATGTTGGAATTGTTTTTTTAGATGACCCCAGCAAATAAAAAAATCGGTTGGTACTTTTATAATTTTTCAAAGAAATAAAAAAAAAAAAAATGTGTAAAAGTTGTGATTGTCAAGACAAGAAAAACTTAAATGTTTCAATCATAATAATAACGCAGTATAATATGACGTACTTATTAAAGATGGACACAAAAATATAGAGATGATTAAAATAATACATTCTTATTTATATATCCGACTTTATTTAATAAGTTATATCATATATACATATAGTTTATAAAACATATATACATATAAATAATATTATAATTCAGGTTCGAGTTTTAGCATGCCTAAGTCTAATTCTAATTTTAATTAAATTTAAATTGAAAATTTATAATCTAAACTCATTCCTATTTGAAAAAATAATTGTTAAGCCCGTAAAAAAGCAAAGTGTTCTCAAATTGAATTGGGATTGGCCATCCCAAATTCCCACCCTAATATCATGCATGTCATTACTACATTCGCAACGTTCAAGTCTTTTTACACATCAAGACCATATGTTATTAACTTATTGGTGGTGCCGTCACAAACTGAACCACGTTTCTGGCTTCATTGTCAACCAAGTCACTGTACTCCTACTGGGTTCATGTGGACACTGGACACTTTAACCCCACTCAAAAAAGTTTGCACTTTTTGAGATTTGATGGAGTCCAATTAACCTATTTGAAGGCGGTGCTAAAATATACCACACTCCTTCAAAATATCCGACCCCATGAGCAAATTAAATTTAATAGTTTTATATCGGAACACGGAACATTCAAACTCATTAGTGAGGGTTGAGTAGTTGAGCAGTGTTAGGGAAAAAAATAATAATTTTATTTTGCTATAACTCGATTTAAAAAAAAAAAAAAAAAAAAAAAATTGAGAAAAACGTTTGAAGGAGTAATATTTACACGACAATGGTTCTTTTTAAAACAGTTCACCACAGTGGTTTAATTACACTAGTACAAATAAGTGAAAAAAATTTATTTTTTCTTTTATCTTAATTTGGGCGCTTTTTTTCTAAACATTACCATTGACCAAACATACATGTCTCTGTATTTCACCAATTTGACAACAAACACATGTAACAAAAAAAGTTGCCAAACATGCCCTAACCGGACATATAGGTGTTCTTGAGCCTGAGACTTTTTTTTTTTTTTTTTTTTTTTTTTTTTTTTTTTTTTTTTTTTTTTTTGGAAAGGTATCATATCTTTGGATAAAAGAAGATTTTGGCTCATAAGGGACACAATAGGCATGAACCATAGAAAACAGATCAGCCCAAAACACCCAACAGAAGCCGAGGACAATATAGGCAACAGGAAAAGAGCATCGAAAATATCTTGCTAAGACGGCCACGTTGGCAACTGGCCACGACCGATCTGGATCAGATAGTGCACTTTTTCATACCTTTCTCCTCAAAAAGAGAGATAAAAAAAAATCCTTTTTCTATTTAACTTTCCACTTCTTCCAAACCGAACCACACGTCTTCCTACGAATCTCTCTCTCTAAAATATCTCCACCCAAATTATATAAGTCTTCTCTCTCCCTCTCTCTACATATACATCTACCTATATATATATGTATATATCTATTCACAGTTTGCTCCGAGTTTTGATTAAAACCCTATTCCCAAATCTGCTGTTGAAAGTTACCATAGACGTATATAAACATGAATTTATAAAATCTGGAAATCCTAAAATTGTGAATTGAAGATGGGGGAAGAAGTGGGGATGAGTGAATACCAAAGCAGCGGTGATTGTGGCGGTGGCGAAGACCGAGTGTCAGAGTGGGAATTTGGATTGCCCAGCGCCGATGATCTCACGCCGCTGTCTCAGCCGTTGATCCCGCCGGAGCTGGCGTCGGCGTTCAGTATTATGCCGGAGCCTTGTCGGAGCATGGGCGACGTGAATCGAGCGTCGCAGACCACGTTTTCGAGTCTCCGAGGGCAGAGTCAGGGGCTGTCCTCATCTACCCATTTCAATTTCAAGTCGTTCAACGACGATGGAGTTAGAGACCCCATGGCTGTGGAAGGAGACGAAACGGATCTGACGAGGGACGGTTCGGATTCGAGGAAGTTGCGGAGGATCGATAGCGGCACGGAGGAGGTGGATTCGGCGCTGCGATCGGAGAATGGCAACGACGATACGTCGGCGAGGGCATTGAAGCGGCCGAGATTGGTGTGGACGCCTCAATTGCACAAGCGATTCGTTGACGTTGTGGCGCATTTGGGTATCAAGAACGCTGTGCCCAAGACGATCATGCAGTTGATGAATGTTGAAGGCTTGACTCGCGAGAACGTAGCCAGTCATCTGCAGAAGTACAGGTTGTATCTGAAGAGGATGCAGGGGTTGTCTAGCGACGGTCCCTCGCCTTCGGATCACCTTTTTGCTTCGACCCCGGTGCCCCAGAGCTTACATGAGTCAGGAGGTGGTGGACATGGACACAATAATGGGCAAGTGCTGATGCCCGTTCCAATGCCTTTTGTACCGCAGATGATCCCTGTGCCAATGCTCGGGATGGCCCATGGTCACGGCCAAATGGGGATGTCGGCTGCCCCTGTTCCTTATCATGGGTTTGAGTCGAATTCGTACCATATGGTGCAGCACAGAGACTGGTCAGGCAATAATTTCAGCCGTCACCATGTTACACCTAGTGAAAAATAACATTATCACCAATTAAAGAGGTTACTTTCTTGAGCTATATGGCCCTTTTACCATTAGTTATTATTGTTATTATTATCATTACTGTTGGTCTTTGCAACAGTATTTTGCTGTTGGATGAATTAATAATATACCATTGATATTGGGTTCAATCAGAATTTTGACTTGGTGACTCATAACTGAGGCTTTATATAGAGAATTACTCGATTTAGATTGGTAGATATTAGAACCTAATAAATCTTTATCATATGCTAGTTATTTGCAGCTGAACTTTGTTTCTCTGTTGCGTTTAAATTGGAACAACCATTACTTATCATAGTTTACTTGAAGCTAATTCTAGAAATAAATGGTTTAAGGCCCTTTTACCATTAGATGATTATTATTATTATTATCATCATCATCATGTTTACTGTTGATCTTTGCAACAGTATGTTGCTGTTGGATGAATTAATAATATACCATTAATATTGGGTTCACTCAGAATTTTGACTTGGTGACTCATAACTGAGGTTTTTTTAAGAGAATTACTCAATTTAGATTGGTAGATATTAGAACCTAATAAATCTTTATCATAAGCTAGTTATTTGCAGCTGAACTTTGTTTCTCTCTAGCATTTAAATTTGGAACAACTATTACTTATCATAGTATACTTGAAGCTAATTCTAGAAATAAATGGTTTAAATTACTATGTAATTCAGGGACATAGTGGCCATGGTATGTATTCTTCATTTGACTATTATGCTCTTCATAGGTGTTCTCTATATAGGGATGACAATGGTACTGGTATGGGACAGGTTTGCCTCAACCCTACCCTGCCCCCATTAAAGAATACCGCATCCCATCCCAGTCCTGAATAACCCTACCCTGCCCCCATTAAAGAATACTGCATCCCATCCCAGACTTCCCAGTCCTGAATCCCCCCCCCCCAAAAAAAAAAAAAAAAAAAAAACACAACAGAAGCAACAATTCCATCCCTGCCCAAACATACGATTTTTAGAAACCACAATCAGGTGATCTATCCACCAAGATCAATTTCAATGACAACAATTGATCCAGAAAATATAAAGAAGAAGAAGAAGCACACTCCGATCAAGATGAGAAGCTCCGTTCTTGCTGCCATGGTGGAACGTGGGACTGTTGAAGGTTGGGGTACTCTGTATATGATAGAGGGCCCTTTTTAGGGCGGCATGTGTTTGGTAGCATACACTAATGATAGAATGGTAATTTCAGGAAATGTTTTATATATACATATATTTAATATATGGCATGTATGTATCAGGGGTGGGGTAAGCATAAAACACATCGTCCCTAAATCAAGTCAGGTTGATTTTTTTATTTTTTTTATCCTCCTCGGCCCTAACCCAATAAAGAGTATCCCAAACCCTGTATAAAGGGGGCGGGAACCGCCAAGGCAGGCTAAATTGCCACACTTATCTCTGTATGGATTCCTTTCAGGTTGTAACTTAATGATTGCTGCTTTTTCTTTGAAAATTGTTGTACATTTATTTACCTTATGGTTCTAGAAGTCAAAGGGAAGCAAATATTCTTTATTTTTCTTTGTGCATAATGCATTAAGTGAACTAAAAATTAGTTGAAACATCTCACTAGGGAGGTGAGAAGTGGGTAGTTTGACCTTTTTCCATTTGATTATAATTGCTATTATTATCATTATTGTTAGTCTTTGCAACATTCTGTTTGCTGATAATAAGTGAATAATATAGAGATTGGATTCAATTGTCGAAATTGTGACTTTGTCACTCATAGTTAAGGCTTTATTTAGATAATTTATTCCTAAGAAGCACAGACACTTAAATGAGGTGCTGTGTCCGACACTGACACTCGATGGACACTTCTAGACACGTGTTCGACACTTCATGGCCGTGTCCATTATTTAAAAATAAATTTTACTATTTCAGACACTTGGCCGACAAATCTTAAACACTTGGCCAACACATTCGAAACACTCGACCGACACATTCTACACTATTCGTCTTATATAAAACAAACACACTACATTCATAGAAACAACATTATGAACATGCATGAAGATGTTCAACCTCTAAGGAACAAAAACATAACTATAATTGTAATGACCTGAACCCGAGGGTCCGAATCGCTAATCGGGTCCTTACCTGAATCCGAGGTCATATAAGACATTACAATTATTTCCAATGTGGAAATATAATTAATTACATTTAACTGCAGAAGTCCAGTCCAATATATACAAATGTCCCAAAAACAGATCTAAACATGCCCCAAAGAATAAAGTTACATCGTCAGGTCAACTATAAAACAATTACATAAAATTGTTTAAAACTTTACAAATATACATCATAGTACAAAATGGCTAATAAGAAATCTTTTCTAGTCCTGTCCATGCATGCGGAGGATCCTCACCCACCACCTCATCCCCGTGACCTGAAAAATGTAGAGGAGTGAGCACAACGGCTTAGTAGAGATTGCCTAAGTGGCATCTCCTCAAACAAGGTAATTAATCACATGTCTTTCAGACAATGAATAGGAAAAAGAACTAGGGATCATGCGAGGGATTCATATACAACATTTTCGTTTCCCAAATATCATCATACCATCCTCATGCAAGACAATGCATAAAATGCCCCAATGCAACCACACACAACACCCACGCATCTCACATGTCCACGTACCACATCCACCCCCTCATGTATCCACACATCACATCCACACCTTCGTGCATCCACACATCACAACCACACCCTCGTGCATCCACACATCAAATCCCTCATCCACACAACTCAATACCCATGAATGCCCTTATGCCATGCATATAGAAATGCTGTAATAATAATCAATCACTACTCGTTATGCTTCATAACACAATAGAAAATCGAAGCCCTCGTCGTGCTCGTCGACTTTGCCTTCAGTAGCAAATTCAAAATCCCAAAGATACAACCTAAATCTAAGCTTGAAATCAGAAAAGAAAAAAGAAAAGAAAAACCATACAGAGGATGAAAGAGAGATAGTGGCGTGGAGAAAAAGGAGTAAAATGGTCATTCTAATAACTAAATGTATAAGTGGGGTCCACTTGTATATAAAATATCTTTTGTCATTTAATATATATATATATACACACACACACACACCAACACTTTACAACCATACATTTCTAAACATACAACCACATAATTATACATTAAATAATAATGTACGAAATGCAATTATCCCGAAAAATAATTCCCGTGCACAACAACTCCGGTTGCGGATCCCGCCCGGGACCTCCCGACCCGAAAAGTTGGAAAATGCCGAAATGGGCAGCGATGCATTTCTAAGAGTCCCGAACTCGAAGAAATGCCTCAATCAACTCTCGGAACTCATCCGGCACACCCCACAGTGTCCAGCACGCAAAACGAGGCAAAAAAATAAATAATCTGAAAAATCCCTGAAAATGAAAAATAAGAAAAATCAGAAACGCTACAATAATGACAAGATAGGATAGTAATATTATATATAATATGCATATTCTTTTTGATATTCGAATAGCGTCATCTTCTAACTTACGTAACTTTAGTATAGAATTTATAAATTAATTAAAGTTCTATAATTATCTCATTCGTTAGATATACAAATGAAATTTTATATTTCTATTAGCCGTATCTACACCGTGTCCATGTCCTACTTTTTTAGAATTTGACATGTTGTCATATCCTTGTCATATTGTGTCCGTGTCCCATGTCCGTATCTGTGTTTCTTAGATTTACTCAATTTGGATTGCTAAATATTGGAATCCAATAAATTTCTTTCTGAACCTAAGTATCTGCAACTGAATCCAATAAATTTCTTTCTGAACCTAAGTATCTGCAACTGAATTTTATTTTTCTCTCCTGGTTCAATTAAAACCAGTACTCGCCATAGTTGCTTGAAATGAATTTTTAAATAGATGCAGGTCTCATTCGTTCTCTGGCCTAAATACAATATAATTCAGGCACATAGTGGCCATTGTATTTCTGATTCATTTGACAATTATGCTGTTCGTAGAGGTTCTCTTTATGGATTCTTTATAACTTAATGACTGCTACTTTTTCCTTACCTTATGATTTGTAGAATTTAAAACAAAGCAACTATTATTTGGTTATTCTTTGCACTTAATACATAAAGGGACCGAAGATAAATTGAACAGCTCACTGGGGAGGTCCGAAGGGGGTGGTTTGAGGTCATTAATTGCAATACATGAGTATATATTCCTCTACCTTCTGGTCTAGAAGACTATAACTAGTTACGCAGCTCATCAGTTTATCTTTTAGCTAATATTATATGTCTGACTACCAAGATCGTATTGAATATCAAGTGTGGTTGGAGTTCTGTAATTTAATCTTAATTAAAATTATCTGCCAGACTTTCATTATCATTCAGAATGTAGTTGGATAACAAATGAAGAACTCTAACGGGTATTTTACTTTTCTTCTCTTGGGGTAGTTAGGACCTTTATTTCTTACCTCATAAGACCTAGTAAACAGGCACAATGTGCCCCAAACAGAGTTATTCGATTTGGCTAGTTAAAATTTATTTCATCCTTTTCAAAAACTGTGGCACTAGCGTTTAATTTCGCTGGTGTTTCTTGTCTTAAAGTTGCCTTCATCTAAGTTCTAAAGCTATTATTTAGACTAAATTACAGTGTGTGTGCTTTGTGATTACCTGCACAACTATGCAGAATAGCTTTACAAGCCTGCATGTTGCTCCATCTGTTGTCTCTAACTTTTGGTTGATGAGTTTGTTCTGTGATCTTCCCGATTTTAATATCTATTTGTAAAGTGATTTACATAGCACTTCAATTTTTGTTTACAAGTTACGTTTTTAATACATTTCAGGTCTTCCCTTATGTTCACATATTCCCAGTCTTAATGGGTTTCATGATGATTAGAGGTGCTTGCAAGTTTTATAAGAAGTTTACAGTTAAGTTGGGGTCTGCTGGATCATTGCGCGACAGATTATTTAGATTTATTAATTCAGTGGTTATTGTGTGCCATTTGCCTTCTGTAATCTTCCTCTTTTTCGTGATAATGTTAACTTTTTTCCAATGTGTCTTCATGAGATGGTTTGATATGGTATTTTTTATTCAAAATCAGTTAACCTTGTCTTACCTTTGAATTTTTGCTGATACTAAAATTACAATATGAAAAATGTGTGCGTGTGTGTGTCTGTGTTTCTTTTCTTTTTTTGTTTTCTTATTATTTCTATTATTTTTTCAAGTGCTTATTCTTGATCCATTTTTTCTCAATAAACATATCAACAACATTTGTTAGTTGTAATTTTTGAAAGTCCACTGTTTGCAATTCTCTTGTTGAAGCTTCACATTCAATCTCTTCTCGTAATTGAAGATATCATCCTGTAATTTTATGGGTGTGTTTTGAATGGAGATTAGACTACCCCGTTATATTTCATGTGTAGTATAGTTGCAACCTATCAGCAGCACGCTGTAGAGAAATGGCCATTTCTCCTGAATGATAAGTCAGATAATATATCATTAGCCTCTGGTACTTGAGAAAAGAATTCTTTGATGGCCCCACAATTGATGATGGTTTTTTACCTTAAATTACTTTGTGAGTCCAATTGATACTTCAATTTCCTTGGAGCATCTATACATGGCTTAAAGAGATCATGTAGAAATGGTGATGATGCAGGGTGAAATAGATGAAGGGGACAAAAAGAAGAAGGAATTATTGATGTATAAAAAGATTCAGCATAACTGGTATAGAGTTGTTTTGCATGGCATTGAGGTTTTTCTAGTTAATTTCAGTTGATTGCATATTTCTATTATATTTTCATACGTTTTGTTGTAGATTAAAAGCTTAAGAAACTTGGCACTGGTTTAACTTTTGAACTCTCAACTTCTTTTTTAGCATAATTGGTAATCCTGGGCCTGCCAGTCATGGGAGAAGTTCTCAAGAAATCAGCAGAGATGCGTTGAGGTGTGCTTAATTATGGTTCGGGGGATTCTATATGAATCAGGCAAAGAATAAAGGTGAATTATTTCCATTTATGTCTTTCTGTCGTTACATTGAACTGGAAGGAGGTGGCTGGTGTATTTTATCTTGTCTACCTAGAGGATTGCAAGTCACTTAGTACATTCTCAATCAATTTTCAATCAGTGTGTTAATGACTGTATTAAACCTTGTTTTTCAGCAAGAAAGAAAAAGTGGATGCAAGTTGTCAAGCACATTCTTGACCTGTTCTTTAACATAAACGTTTTATTCTGTTCATTATTAATGAAAATATTGAATTTCTTTTCTTTCAGCAACAAAGTGAAAGCCAATGAGAAAACTGAGCAAAAATCAGGCAGCACTCCTTGGCTGCTGGGCATTCCTTGTTGTAATCTCCCCTTTCGGTATCCTGTCTTGTATAAATATATTCCTTTTTCATAAGCTTGATGATAATTTATTGCAACTTTGGTTGCATTTACCACTGATCCCTTCAATATTTGCTTCTTTGTACTCCTTTGTATGATGCTGTTTCATAATTATATCGTTTTGATATTTATTGTCTTAGCATTCCATCTTAAATGGGCTCTTTATTTATGAAAGTTAGATGAACTATCTACTCCAGAATGTTCACCATTGTAAGGACGTTGCTGTTCTCATTTGCAGGCTATAAAATTGTTACCACTGGGCCATCACCTGGTTAGGGAGGTGAGGGGTTTGAGCCCTGTAGTAGTCATTTGTGGGTATGTGCTAGTATTTAAGGGTTATAAAATTGTTGGAAGTCCGTAAATGGCATGGCTATCTTGAGCGGTTGTGTAACGACCCGAATCCGGGGGTCTGAATCGCTAACCGGGTTCTTAACCAAACCTGAGGACTAGGGGTAAAATGATCATTTTACTTTATGAGAGGTTAATCCATCCTTAAACTAATCAAATGAGGTTTAAAACAATCATTTTAGTCATTCTATGACATTTGAGGAGGTTCTACCGTCGTTGGATGTGATTTCCCAAAAGCGTCCTTACCCGGTTCAAGGGAATTCCTGACACTGTTTCACTAAAATAGCAATAACTCTCAACATGAATAGAATTTGAGGATGAGGTTGGTCTCATTGGAAAACTAACTTAAAATTCTTGAAAATGGGTTAAAGAATGATTCTATTCGGGTTTGGAACGAAGAAATTATGGGCAAACAAAGTGGTCAAAGCTAATACACTGTCAAGGCAAAAATATACATTGGAGGGCTGGAATCGGTTCCCAAATCTTGGTATCGATTCCACATGGAAAGGAAGTCACAATGCGAACCAAAAACACCTTTGAACTGGTTTCATAAAGGCTGAACTGGTTCCCGAAGTCCAAAAACTTGAAAATAGCCCAGAAAAGCCTGAAATTAAACATTTGTGTATATGGGTATTCCCTTGGTCCCTTGATGACTTTATTTAAAGTCTAAACCTATCCCAATTCATGCATTCAAAGTGTGTAAAACATAATTAAACTCCCGTGCCTTTCATTAAACTAAATACAAGTCCAATACATCGTTTAAAAATCGACTCTCATTTTATACAATTTCAAAAGGATTAAATACAAGTAAAGAGGCTTCCATGGCCAAAATTTACATAGCTATAATATGAATAAAATGAAATGAATTCCTAACTACACCAATGTCCATAGATGCATAGCATTCACCGGCTCACCTCCGGATTTCCTGAAAAATGTTAATAATGATAGGGTGAGCTTAACAGTTCAGTAGAAAAAGCCTAAATCACATTCCTAAAAATCCCGTGAGCCACAACCAAACAAAGGGAATCAAAGAAAAGGGATCAGGGGATTATAATTCATATTAATCATACATGAATTTCACAAATTCACCAACCATTCCATCACACATGAAATGCAATGTTCCTTTCTTCCTTTCCAACTTAACCTCACCAAATCCTTCATAACCTTCATCTTAACTTACAACACAACCCATCCTCTCACTTCCTAACCTTTCTTCCACATCAAATCTTCATCCTTTCTACTCACCCCATGTTAAGAGTATGCATGGCATACCACCATTCATCAATACACAAGTCATGGTTCACATCATAGTTATATTAAAACATTCAAACACAAAAATTGATCACATAAATCATACTTTCACATTTTCTCATAAAAAAAATAGCATGCTTCGCACAAATACAAGAAAACCATCATATTCTCAACTCAAGTAATTAGATCAAAACTATCTCATGCTTAACATCACAACCAAAAATTTACAACTAAGCATGCTTCACAATATCAAGATATGCATGTAAGAAAATACATAGAACTCACTAAAATCATAGAAAATTTGTAATTTAGACTTCCCCTACCTCAATATGATTAGCCAAACAAGGCCTTAGCAAGCCCCAACTTTGAAATCCTCCAAACCCTAGCAATATGGGTGCCAAATGGAAGCTCTCCTCAAGCTCATCAACTCCCTCTCTATGGCATCACCAAAAGCACCTTCTAATCTCCCCAAATCCAAGGTTGAAACATATGTGAGATATATGAGATATAGATTTGTAATATAGAGAGAGGAAAATGAAGACAAGGAAGAGGAAAAGGTGATGCCCAAAATGGAAGGGGAGGGGGAAAAAAAGTTGTCTTTCATCTTCCATGGCCAAGGTTGTGCCAAGTGTCACAATTTGAGTAATTTCTAAATCAAGCTAAGTTACTATAATGCCCCTCCTCTTTCAATGAAATGCCATTCTTACCCCACAAATATCTACCTCTAATATATAGATATAGATATATACATATATGTGAGAAAAGTCTATTATGCCCCTTCCTTAAAATGACAAAATCGAGAGAATTTACCGAATCCGGAAATTGTCCTGACTTCTAAAAAATTCTAAAAATGAAACCGTCACTTCTAATTGACTTAAAATGATTAAAAAAACACTTCTAAAACCCTCGGCTCAGAAAATGACCAAAACGCCCCTCAAGGCCTGCGTGGCACGTAAAACAAGGTAAGGATTAACATAATTCAGAAAATTAAATAAATTCCCGAAAATAGAAAATAGGGAAAATCGGTAACATTACAGGTTGAGAGTTATTGTAAAGGGTGGGTTCTTTGCTATCCGACCCAAAAACTTAAGTTATTAGGCGGGACTAATATCCAATCCATATATACTCATTGACTTTTTCATCCGGATCCGATGTGGACAAGCTTCCCCTTGTTACATTCTCCCTCACCTGAACTCGCAACTCGGGCCACCTTGCTGGAAGCTCTCTGGGCCGGGTGCTTGGCTTGACACTGGATCATAGTTGTTAAAGGCGCCGAAGGCGCGCGCCTGAGGCGCCAGGTGCCACCTTGGCGCCTTGAAAGGCTTAGGGCGAGGGCCTTGTATTAGGCGCGCGCTTTTGGGACTTAGGCGCAGGGCTACAGGTGCGCCTGTTTGAATTTTTTTTTTTTTTTTTATTATTTTGGTTGTGACTTGTGTGGGACAGTCAACATTCAACAATGAGTCGTATATTCAGTCTGCAAATCTTTAATTATCACTTGCAAGTTACAAAGCCAAAAAAAAAAAAAAAAAAGATCAAAAAGCAAAAAAGAAAAGGAAAGAAGAGACAGAGAAGAGAGAGAGAAGTACGAAGTGTCGAAGCCAGAACTGGAAGGGATTCAAGGGAAGCTCGGATCTGCCGTCTCCGTCTGCAAAGCCCGGATCTGCGAAGCACCGGTAAGTTCTCCTTGCTTCTTCTTCTTCTCTCCTTCAATCCTTCTTACTTCTTCTTCTCTTCTCAGTTTTTTTTTTTTTTTTCTTCTCTCGGCTCTCCAGTCTCCAGAGTCCAGCACTCCAGCCGTCCAGCCTCTCCTCAACTCTAGTCTCTTCTCTTGAGTCTTGCTTTTATTTATTTTATTTTTTTTTCTTTGAGCCGAGTCTCGGACTCTCGGCTCTTCTTTATTTTTTTTATTTTATTTTTTTATTTTTTCCCCTCTACTCTTCTTCTCTCGACTCTCACTCTCAGCCTCTAGTCTGATCATATTTTTTTTTTTTTTTTTTTCTATTCTTCTTCTCGGATTATTATTATTTTTTTTTTTTCACAACAAAAATATATAAAAAGAAAAACCTTTTTTTATAACAAGAAGTGAGTGTGCTTCTCTAATTTCTGATCTTATTTGCGGCTCTTTTTTTTTTTTTTTTTTTTTTTTTTCCCCTCTATTCTTCTTCTCTCGGCTCTGAGCCTCTTTCTGATAGTGTGATCTTATTTTTTTTTTTTTCAATTCTTCTTCTTCTCGGCTCTCTTTGACAGACTAACCTCTTATTTTTTTTAATTTTTTTTTTTTTTTTCTATTCTTCTTCTTGGCTCTTTCTGCTTCTGCTCTTCAGCCTCTTCTTTTATTTTTATTTTTTATTTTTTTATAATATGTGCTGCTGGAATAAATTGTAGTTTACAAACTTTACAATTCTGTGCTGCTGGAATAAATTGTAGTTTACAACTTTACAATTCTGTGCTGCTGAAATTGTTAATATTGCTTTGAGCCTTTGATTCTTTGAACTTTGAAGCTCTGTAATTTTTTTCTGTCATAGTTGTTGCAGACCGTAGACACTGATTAGTGATTACATGATGCTAATCTTGTTATTATTTTGTTATTTTGAATTTGATTGTAATTTGTACTTTAAAAGATGCCTAGCGATGGTTAAGAAAGGATCCGGCATGGAATTACTCACATTTGGAGAATCCGAAAGATACAAATGCCGTCACTTGTAACTTTTGTGCAAAAGTTACAAAAGGAGGTATTTATCGGGCTAAGCAACACTTAGTTGGAGGGTATAGAAATGTGAGTGCATGCACAAGATGCCCATTTAGTGTTAGAGAAGAAATCAAAGAGTACATGAGTAAGAAAAAGGAAGAAAAAGAGCAAATGAATTTGTTACCTAGTGATGAAATTAATTTCATTGATGGAGAGGATGAGGATGATGCTATGGAAGTTAACAATCGGGGAAAAAGGGTAGCTAGTGTAGGTAGTGGCAGTGCTAGTGTCAATTCCTCAAAGATGCAAAAGTAAAAGGGACCGATTGATTTATATTTCACTCCCAGACCGGAAATTGTGGTACAAAAAAGAAAGGAGGGGGGAAAACAAACAACCATTAATGATGCATGCAAGAAAGAGTTGAGAGGAAGAGCGTGTGCTGCTTTTGCAAGGTGGATGTATGATGCAGGAATTGCATTCAATGCTGTTAAGTATGATAGCTTTGCTGAGGTTGTTGAAGCAATTGGACAATATGGTCCTGGCATGAAACCACCTAGTTATCATGAGGTGAGAGTTCCTTTGCTTAGGAAGGAATTGGATAATACCAATGCTTTGATGAATGACCATAGAGAGTAGTGATCAAAATTTGGATGCTCATTAATGGTAGATGGGTGGACAGATAAGAGAGGGAGAACATTGCTTAATTTCCTAATAAATAGTCCAAGGGGAACCATGTTTATTGAATCGATAGATACTTCTTCTTTTTCAAAGGATGGTGCAAAGATGTTTGACTTCCTTAATAAATTTGTGAACCGCATTGGAATAGCAAATGTCGTCCAAGTCGTCACAGATAGTGAATCAAACAATAAGTATGCCGGTAAGAATGTTCAATGTTTATAACTTTTAGAGTTTACATTCTTTACAAATATATAATTTAAATCTTTTTTGATTTACTCATTCTCTTTATATCATTTTTTTCTTTTTCCATTTGGTTTCAAATAGGGAGGATGTTAGAGAAAGAACACCCACATTTGTATTGGACACCATGTGCTGCTCATTGCTTAGACTTGATGTTGGAAGACATTGGGAAATTACCGTCCATCTTTAGAACAATGCAGAGGGCAGTGGAGTTGAATAGTTACATTTATATGCGTCCAAAGTTGTTAAACATTATGAGGAACTTTACTCATAAAAAGGAGTTGCTTAGGCCCGCTAAGACTCGATTTGCTACATGTTTCATCACATTATCAAGTATTCACAAGCAAAAGAATAACTTGAGAAAGATGTTTACTTCAGAAGAATGGAATCGTAGTAAATGGGCGAAAGAGGAAGCCGGTAAAAGAGTTGCTTCTTATGTTTTGATGCCTTCCTTTTGGAACAACATTGTCTTTAGCCTTAAGGTTTCCGGTCCTCTTATTCCGGTTTTGAGATTAGCTGATGGCGAGAAAAAGCCTCCCATGGGATACATTTATACGGCTATGATAGGGCTAAAGAAGCCATTGCAAAATCATTTGGGGGAGTAGAAGATAAATACTCAAATATTTTTGAAATAATTGATAAGAGGTGGAATGTTCAACTTCATTGCCCTTTGTATGCAGCAGGTTATTATTTGAACCCAGAATACTTTTATTCAAATCAAAAAATTGAAGAAGATGAAGAGATTGCAAAGGGTTTGTATGCATGCATTGCAAGGTTAGTCCTGGATGATAAAGATCAAGACAAAATTACTGAGGAACTGTCCTTATATTCTAAAGCTGAGCGCCTCTTTGGTAATCGCTTTGCTATTAGACAGAGAAGTACACGAGCACCAGGTAAAGTGGTAAAGTATATTAAGTTAGTATAGCTAAGTGTTAAAATGATGAAGCTAAATTTGCTAAACATCATTATTAATTTTTTTTAATAGCTAATTGGTGGGAAGCTTATGGCAAGTCAACAAAACTTCTCCAAAAGTTTGCTATAAAGGTTTTAAGCCTTACTTGCAGTTCTTCTGGTTGTGAACGAAATTGGAGCGTGTTTGAGCATATAAGTATATACTATTTACTAACTAGGTTTGTAATTTAATTGTTGAAAATTAAAATTTTAATTTTTTATACTTACTAGTTAAAATTGAATTTATTGCAGCTTCATAACAAGAAAAGAAATAGGCTCGCTCAAACAACGTTGAATGATTTAGTGTTCATCAAATATAATAGAGCATTGAGGCATCGATATAATATGCGTGACACTCTTGATCCCATTTTACTCGATGACATTAATGAGAGCAACGAGTGGTTGACGGGGAGGATGGATGATTCTGATGCAGAATATGATCTAGTCTATGAAGATGATTCCTTGACATGGGGTGATGTTGCTAATTTTACTGGTATTGGAGAGGCTAGCAGGCCGCAACGGTCTACTAGATCAAAATCTAGTTCTAGTTCACGGTTACCAACAAAGGGAGTAAGAAGTTCTTCAGTTCAACTTGTGGATGAGGATGAGGATGATTCAGATGAGATAGAAGAGGATCCTAAGAATTATGAATCATTTAGTGACGATCAAAATGATGTTATGCTTATTAATGACAAGGATGATATTTAGATTCGTTGGTGTTGTCTTCTTAGGAAGAAATGATGTTTATATTTGTTTTAGTTTTATCTTATATTTCTCCTTAGTTGACTTTTGTATCTTTATGTTAATATGTTTGATTATTCACTGAATCATTGTTGAACTCAAATACTTGATTTACTTGGTTTTGGCATCTTTATGTTGAATATTTAACTTAAGTAATTCATTTAGTTGACTTTTACATCTTTATATATACTATTGCATCTTCAATACTTTATTGGGTGGGTTTTGTTTTTTTTTTTTCCAACGCGCGCCTCGCTTCAATCGGGCGCGCTCCTCGCCTTGCACCTTGCACCTTGCACCTCAGGCTCCAGGAGGCATTTGCGCTTTTGTGCGCCTTGAGCCTTTAACAACTATGCACTGGATTAAGGAACGAGTTTGGTTTTGATATCAACTGTAACGGGTGAGTACTTCGCTATGATCCAAAAACTTAAACTATTAGGTGGGGCTAATATCCAACCCATATATACCCATTCAATTTTCTCTCTGAATTCGACGTGGGACAATCTCCACCTTGTTATAGTGTACTTGAAGCATTTATAAATGGAATAGGATATTAACTCAATAACTCAATCTCTTAGGGCTGTTTGGTATCCATTTCTATTTTTCGTTTTTGTTTTCATTTGAAACAGACACAATAGTAATTGAAAACATGTTTGATAATGTAAAATTTGTTACAAGAGGTAACGACCCAGCTCCTCATGGATCCGGATCATTAAACGGGTCCTAACCCGACCCAAAAACATCCAAGGGTGAAACGGTAATTTCACGCTAAATTAAAATGTTGAGTTCCAAAAAGGGCAAGATGGTAATTTGCCATATTTCAATAAATTAAGACCCAAAGGACATCATAGTCATTTACGTGTATCACACAATAATTAAAATGAGATCCGGGGTAAAATAGTCCTTTTGGGGCAAAAATATAATTATGGCATTTAATTGGGTCATAAAATAATTAATTTCAACTTCAAATGATGCCAAAGTGTAATTTTAAGAACTTAAATTGGTAATTACATGAAAAGGCAGAACCGGTCGACGTATAATACGTCGACTGGTTTGGGATATGAACAGTGGGAAAACCCACTGCCATGATACCAGTCGACGTACCCCATACGTCGACTGGTTTGGGATCAGGATACCGGTCGACGTATGGGATGCCATAGACTGGTTTGGGACGTTAACAACTCAAACATATACGGTGAAGATACCGGTCGACCGGTTTGGGTTATACGTCGACAGGTTCTAGAAATTTTTCACTCCCACTTTCCACTGTCCTGTGTGACCCTGTACTCCAACTTATGGTCGTTCAACCACCCACGTCACTACACTTACGTGCAAAATTAATACATTTCAACAATAAATTCGAGTACAACAACCACGTTATTGACGTAATTTATCACACGTCACTAAAATACACTAGAGGATTTAGTGTAATTAAAAGTTAATTACATTTTAACATCAAATAAAACTACAACAACTATCAACAACATGAATCACCCCACGTTACTTAAATACACAAAAAAAGGCTTATGTTTGAATAAAACTTAATTACATTATCCAATTGCCATAATTGCAAACTTATTTACATTCTCTAAAAATTATAATTATACATGGAATGGCCAAATACAAAACATCTTCTAACAATTTTCAATTTTGAGGTGAATTGGCATCCGTCGATTCTTTTCCAAGACCTGAAAAAATATATATATAGTAGGGTGAGCTATATGCTCAGTAAGTGACACTTAAGAGTTGCATAGGCCAATGGGAGATAGGGAGCATACAACATAGGGGATTAATACAACATTCCAACCAAATTCGAATACAAAGAATGTAATGCCGTGGAATGCGAATGCATGCCAATGTCACTCCCCATTTTCATTCTCAAAATCATCACTTTCAACTGTTAATACAGCCCGCCCTTTGGTGACCCCGTCACGACACGAGATGAGGATTGGCTAGTATTCTTGACCCTTGGTAATCCCGCGGCGTCATTATGGGGCCCAGCTAGCTCAACCACGCTAGGGCGACTCCCTAGTCCCCTCTAAGCTATATTAACTTCCGGCCCGTTGGTAACCCCGCAGCGACCGGGTTTGCATAAAACCATTTTATCCAAAACACTTCCCCGAAATTCCCAATTTCATTTCGAAACAAATTTCTCCCGTTTCATGCAACCCAATGGTACATGTATGCACATATATTCCATACTTTCAATATTATGGTATTTAAAGAATTACAACACCCAATCAAACATATATCATGTTCAACATTTCTAGAAAGGTCATCAACATAATAAACACAACAAAGCATCAACTAGACATACTTTTCACATAGAACAAGTCATATTCAAGATTGTGAAATTCTCTAGACATCACTTACACAACATTAAAACAATTAATTCTCAATTTAAGCATGTTTATTACACAAAGAAGATAAAATTCACAAAAGAGCAAAAACATCATGCATTAAGGGTCCCTACCTCAAGTTTGCACCAAAACCCTAAAGATGGGTCCTCAAATTCGAACTCCAAAGGAAGGCTCAAAACTGAAATTGTTGGTATGAGTGCGTAGAGCTCGTCGTGCTCTCCGTTTTGCCTCAAACGGTACCTTAATCCGCCAAGTAATGAGAGAGTAATCAAGTCTCAAAGATTGGCTTGAAAAAGAAAAAGAAAATGCAAGTTTGAGAGAGTGGAAGAGAGAGTAAAGGGAGAGAGAATGAGTGATAGACCAAAAATGGTCTCTAGCCACTTATTTGAGATAGTGGTAGGCCCCTCCACTATGAATTCCTTTTTCATTTTCTTTTACTTCAATTCTTACACTACACACAAAAATGGACCACATCAATGCTACATAAATCATATAAAATTAAATGCACAAAAATGCAACTAGACCCAGCCACAATCCCATACGCAACATGTGAAAAGACAAAAATACCCCTGCGACAACACGATTTCCAAAAAACGGAAAATGCCAAAAATCAAAAACGTCACACAAGAGTTTTGGAAGTAAAAACATAAAGACATGTTTTGTAAAAAAGAATTGCAAAATTAAAATATGATTTGGGTCTTTTTCGGCATCAAATGCTATATTATTCAAATTGTAAGAAAAGTTATCAAGTACGTATTTTGCTTCGCTACATACACTACCCACAATAGAAAACATAAAACAAAAGCAATTGCCAGACATATCCTTATTACTTAACTCGTCCGCATCAACAGAACATCCAACCACACCAAAAAGCAATGAATAGAATCACATATTTGGTATTGCTATAAATTCCGTCAGTCATGAGAACCTCAAGTGGGTGATAAAAGAACCCCATTTGAAGCCAATCAGAAGGGGGAGTCGAGCAGACACTTTGACAAGAACAGGGTCACACACTAAACAAAAAATTACATGAACACTTTTCTTATCTAGCTGTGATCACACATCAGTTAGCTTCTATCGAATCTATCCAGCTGCGACCTGTGATTTTTCTCAGCTTTCTTCTCTTTATCAGCTTCTTCACGCCTGCAGCATTTCTCCAACTACCGGCATCAGCATATAAACTTGACAACAACAAGCTGCTTCCTGCACTGCCAGGCTCGAGCTCACGAAGATGCTCAACTGCTATTTCAGCAAGATCTATATTCCCATGCTGTCTACATGCCCCTAACAATGCTCCCCATACATACAAATCAGGCTCAATGGGCATTGTTTTAATCAAATCATAAGCCTCAGAAATTTCCCCTGCTCTACCGAGAAGATCCACCATGCATGCATAATGCTCTAATCTTGGCTTGATCCCATACTTCTCCTGCATTGCGCGGAACAAACTCTGTCCAAGTTCAATCATCCCAACATGACTACAGGCATTGAGAGCCGCAGTGAAAGTCAAGTGATCTGGTTTCTTATTCTCCTTCTCTACCATCTCATTAAAGAGCTCAATCGCTTCATTGCAATACCCATGATTCGCGTATCCAAAAATCATGGAATTCCAAGTAACTGTGTTTCTTTCAGACATCTTATGAAACAATGTTCTTGCTTCATATATTAAACCACATTTTGCATACATGTCTATAAGAGCACTCCTCACGAATATATCTTCTTCAACTCCAATCATCACTGCATACCCATGAATCTCCTTCCCACGCCTCAAGTCTGCCTTGGTTGCGCAAGCAGGCAAGAGACTACTAATTGCAGCGGAACTAGGATGCAACCCAAGATCCAACATATGCTTGAATGTCTCAAAAGCCTTGCTGTTACGGAAATTCTGCACAAACCCAGAAATAACTGAAGTCCATGACACCGTGTCAGGCTCAACACCGTCAACGCGCATCAATTGAAAAAGTTCAGAGATCATTGATTCATCGCCTGCTTGTGCAAAGCCGGCAATTAATGTATTCCATGTTACCACATTGCGCTTCACTCCCATTAGTTTCATTTCCTGAACCAAACTCCATGCTTCTTTAACACACCCGTGTTGAGCATAGCCAGAAATCATGGTATTCAATGCCACCAAATCTTTCTCAAACATCCCATTGAACACCCGCTCGGCCTTTCCAACCTGCCCACATTTTGAGTACATATCTATCAATGCACTATTGACAAAAGTATCGGATTCAAACTCACACTTTAGAACTAAAGTATGTATCTTCTCTCCGGTTTGTTGATCAGATAGATGACCACATGCTTTGAGAACGCTAGGAAGGACAAACTTGTTGGGTTTTAGGCCTTCTCTCTGCATTTCACAGAAGACACCCATAGCCTCCTGATAGAAACCACGGCGGGCATAGGCCCCAATCAGAACAATCCAACGTCGGATATTTGTTTCAGGAATTTTGTCAAACAGTTTGCGAGCATCGGATAATCGTCCAAGCTGTGAGTAGAGGGCTATGAGCTTAGAGGCAAAATGGGTCAAACGAGCTAAGCCATTGATGATCAGGTGTGCGTGTAATGCTCTGCCCGATTTCCAGGTTCGATCACGTGTGTACAACTCGATGAGGTTTGTATATGCATCGGATGAAAGATGAAAGTAACGGTGTTTTTTAATAAGGATTCTATGATGGGCCCTAGAAATAGTTGTTCCCTTGAAGAGTGTGTGCATCTTACAAGCGCGGGAAAGAAACCAGGCAACATTTCAATTGGAGAGTGAGGATTATTTCATTAATATGTAAAGCTTTTATTTATGTATTTATATATATGCCTCACTCCTGCATTATGGGAGCCGAGCAATTTTAACATGAAATGGGAGTAATTTTTAAAAATTAACTATAAAAAAGAGTTAAAAGAAAAAGAAAAAGTCAAGATAATCACATTCAGGTAAGATTAAGGAAGGGGAAATTCAAAACTCTAGTCAGCGCCCATATGCTATGATGGGGACTTCAAATATGTGAGGCCTCGACTAATCGGGTGTCACGATGTCTATCATTATTTTTCAAGTAACCATAATAATGACGATACATTCTTTTTCGTGAAATATTAAATGTTGTCTGAATTGCAAGGCTCAAAGAGTTTTATATAATACAATGAGAATAAAAGATTCCATTGAATTGAATAGGAATTTACAAATCAAATAAATAGTGAGAATTTTTTAATCCTTTGTAATTTGAAAATTCGTCTATAAATTGGCACCCTTAAGAGTACACAGTCGTTTGTTAAGTAAATTAGTCAAATTTGAACAACATTTGGAGCTACACTCACAAACATATTCTCAATTGATTTAGCAAGACTTATTTGGATTTGTTAACCATTTTTATTTTTATTTTTTATTGATATTGATCTCAAGATCGAGCTTAAAATTGACTAAACATACCAAGCAAGTTAGGCTTGACCGATATATTTGGATTTGACTATAAGACAATTGTTTGATTAATCGAACTAAGCTCAAAAACTCAAGCTTGAGTCGAGCACATTTAGCTGGCATGATTGTAGCCAAAACCAAAGGTTAAATCCCTATAACCTATGTAAATCCCTTAACATTGTCTCTATGAATCACAACACATTCGTTGCCAAAGCAAACTGCGTGACGCATCATTCTCTATCTAGCAAGCACAGTAGTTACATTCCAAATTCGAGAGAGAGAGAGAGAGAGAGAGAGAGAGAGAGAGAGAGGCCATTAAATAAAATTCATTGTAATGTTTAAAACATAACATTTCAAATAAATTATAAATGCGAGCCCTCTATTTCAAACCAAAAAAATATATAGAGAGATATAGATAAAAGTATTTACTACATTTTGATTATCCAGCAATAAAATATTTCCAGGCATTTCCTTGCTTCAGGAAAGGCTACATGAGAATGAAGATAAGCCGCAGAAAGTATGAAGCCTACTTATAAAAAGCCTTCATCGTTATAGATAACTCAAAAACTTGCAACATCCAGATATAGCTCCAAGAATCCTTTGTCAGACAAAACAAGATTAACGTACCAGTAAAACCATGAAACACTTCAATTCAAAATCGCTCTCCATATCTGAAGAACACAGCACCAGTGCCAGAGTTGTGATCAACGGCATACTCAGCCCGTCCTTGGCCTAACTTGACCCCACCATACGAGGAACCGTGACCTATTCGCCTGTAAACCTCCGTTGGGTTTCCCTTGACATCCTTTGAACTTCCAAGATCATTACCATGCTCTGCAAATGCATAGACATGCGTGTTCTTCACAGGCATCCGCAGCTCAGCAGCAAGCTGCACGAACCCATAAGAACTTATTTTACCAATAATTTGTTAAGGGCACATCCATAGATTGTTAACTGTTATAATGGCCTGTTGAAGGTAACAACTGACTCCAATGACTCTTACCTCCAGGATATTTCTGGCTGCACCTATCTCGCCCATAGCGTAACCCCTCACTGAATAAGGCCCCCCAAGTGTAAAAGCATCATAACTTGGAAGGTCTCCCACACAACCACCATAATGGCCATGTAGGACTAGCACAGGTGGTGGTGGTTTCCCAGCACCTTCCTCCACTTCTTTTAGCTGGATAAATCTTGTCACTGTTAGCTGGTGACGATTAAAGAAAGGAAACTTACTGCCGATGCCAAGACCTTGGTTCAGCTGCAATATTCATATGCAAAATACGCATGTCAGCAGGTAATGCAAGTCCTTGTTACATATGAAGATCATCTGAACTAGAAGACACTATTAATATTGTAATAATATTGAAAACAGGAATTTGCTCCGAATTGTCAGTCAAAAACTAGCACCTTCCCTTTTATGTAACACCCATGAGACACAAAGAAAATGGTTGTCTTGAAGTCTTCAGCACATATACATTTCAGGAAAACAAGAATATATGATTTCAGAAGGATAATTAACTGTTATTGCATCATTAAAAATAAAGAATTCGAGAGAACCAACGGAATTCAGATTAACGGACCTGAATGGCATTAAATAATCAATGCATTCTTCTGATGACCATAATATTTTTTTAAGGAAACAGAAATTATTTACAGGAAGTATATCCAAAGTTGGGCAGAAAAACTAAGAAACACATACATAGTAAAAGCACTGAACCACTTGTAATGTTCTTCAATGAGCCACTCCTAACACTGTCAATTATATCGGCTTTATTATATCAAGGACATCCAGATTTATGTTACTCTCAAATAGTAGAAATAAGTAAGGACATATATATGACATAAGCTTACGCAATCCGCTGGGGACACACCCAAAAAAGAAAAACGAATGACTCTCACCTGGAACACATTCCTCTCACCAACTATTGCTCCATTTACAAACTTAGTGTTATCACGGGTAATATTTGCCTGGAGAAATGCCATTCGGTCAATGCCAGTGCCACTAAGTGTTGTTGGAGGTCCGTCTGAACTAATTTCTCCACTTGGCAACACCCTTTGACCAAGTCGAGAAATACATTTGCTTTCATCACGAGTTGTTATCTCTTCCATCACAAGTCCGTAAGTGAATTTGCTCTGACGAGTGAAATTCTGCACACAAATATCAGTCAGAAAGTCATATTTTTTCATACGCAGGTATTTGTATTGATCTCAAATGATACGTCAATCAATACATAGAGCAAAGTGAGGGCATACCCTCACATTACAAAGAAAACAAGGGAAATAGAGAAGTACCACTTCCAGTACATCTCAAAGACAAAAATACCGCAAAAATAGTTACAAGACAGCACAAACATCTTGCACACAAAGTCCTGCTGCATCCACCACTTGAAACCAGGTAGTTCTAGCTACCTCTGTAGGATCTCTACAAGAACCTTGATGGTACCTCATGTTTCTCTCCCTCCAAATGGCCCATAAAACTGCCTCTAGTGTGCTGTTCAAACCATTGCCATAAGTGATCAAAGGATTCAATGGTAGGCAAGGACCAGTGAAACAGCTCAGCAAATCAGCTCCAAATGTCCACTGAGAAACTACTAAACCACATGATGAAGGGCCTCCTGAGATTTATAAGCATTATATTAGAGAAGAGCCAAAAGAGTGCACAATACCTCTGTGATATTAGCTTTGACACCAGCTCGATCAACCCAAATAGGGGGGACTTTGTCCACTTCTGGCCCACCGGTGAAAACTGGGCTAAGTCTGCTGCTGTTAAAGCAGCTTGCTCGGAATGTACGGTTGCGAGGCTTATACACACCATCTAAATATGGATGCACATACTCAAGCTTAAAAGCAAGATCACGCTGCAAAAAAAATTACCCATTAACATTGTATGATGCAAAATCATTTCTATAAATGATGTTATTTTTACATCGAAGTAAAAATCACCTGAGGGTTGAGGAAGTTTCTAGCCGTCACTGAACCAAGAAGAGACCTATTTAACCCTTTCATATTTCGGTGCTCAAAGGAAACAGTTCCACCAGGATGGAATGAAGCCTAAAATGGTAGCAAATAAACAAAATTCCAATCAGAGTTAGAACAGCAAAATTGAAAGCCCAAATCCTTAGTCCTCATCAAGTAGAGATTAGCTATTGACTTAATACCAGTGCAGGACGACCTCCGCGTTCAGTAACAATACTCCACTCTGTACTGACTTCAGCAGACTTTTGTTCTAATTCTTTAAGATTAAACTCAACAATGACCCCTCCCCCATTCTTCTCATCAGGTATTGGATTAACTTCACAACTAGAAAACAAGGATAACACACGTGTGTTCCTTAGAGCTTGTTTTGCAGCTTCTATATTAAAAGCATGCCCTTGTGTGAGCTGTTAACACAATTATAACATTCGGTAAATAACAAACAAAACCCTCTTAGCTATATGGATAACAAACAAAATTGGATACATAAAGCATCAAACATTATCAAATCTCCATGAATATGACTAATTTAACAAAGCAAAATCCATTCTGCACAAATTGATGGATGACAAACATCAATAGGCTACCTGTTTGGGTATTTCTCGACTCAAAACTGCGAATTGGGTGTTCCCCTCGCATACATTCCCAAGCTTATCCTGAAACTGAATCACCAACTGCGTAATATCCCCTTCCACAACCTCGCAAACCAGCTCCCTGGGATTTGAAATTCTAAATTTCACAACTTGAGCGTATACATACCCCTCGTTGTCGTACCACTTTTGAACCCGGTCCTTAATCTTCTGCAACAACCTGGCGCTCAAATTGCCTTGCCCTCTCATCATCTCTAACACCTCTCCGTGCACCGGCATTGGCAACAAACATGGCCTCGCCGTCCTGACTCTCCTCCTATAATTATTCTTTTCACTCCAATAGTACTCCAATTTCTCCTTCCCCGTCATGTCAGGGTCCATTTCAATCGGCTTGGACTGGGGCATTAAACCGACATTTATGCACCTAAACTTGTCCGCCGATTGCCATGTACTCTCCGTAAATGATATGGTTATTGCAATAGTGCCATCCGGGTTGGTCTTCCCTTCAAGATCCACCTTCTTAAAATATCCACAAGTCGCGAGTGTTTCGAGCTCCTTCTGGAATTGGGCTTTGGTGTATATACAGCTGGGCCGGATTGAAACCATATAAAAGAAGGAATCTCCGGTGCCGGCGGTGGTGATCCGACTAAGTCGATCGAAGAACAAAATTTCAGAGACTTTGTATTTCTTGAACCCATTAAGCTTGTTGAGCTGTACCACAATGTTGACAGGTAACCCGTGTGAGTTCCATTCTTGAGATTGTGATTCGTCATCTTTAGCGATCGCGGCAGGAGAGAATACTTTTGACCAAAAACCGCCGTCTCCGCCACCTCCACCACTGCCGCCGCTGCCTCCGCCTCCGCCTCCGCCGTTGCCCCAACCACCTGTAATGCGACCGTACAGGTTGGTGAGAGGGGGGCCAAAGAGAAAGAGGAGGCCGGTGGCGGCCGACAGGGCTAGAGATTTTTGGAGGAGTAGGAGGGGGGGGTTTAAGCGATGTACATTTTAAAGGTTCAGGGTTTTGGGAAGAGGAGTTGGGTTTTAAAGGATCAGGGTTTTGGGAAGAGGAGGTGCGTTTTACAGGTTTAGGGTTTTGGGAAGAGGTGATGGGTACGCGAGTGGAGTTGGGTAGGCGAGAGGTGGCGGGTAGGCGGATGGTGGTGGGGAAGCGAGAGGTGGCGGGTAGGTGGATGGTGGTGGATAGGCGAGTGGCGGTGGAGTGAAATGAGGGATTGAGATTCAGGAGAAGTTGCCCCGGGCCGGCGACCGTTGCCATGGCAGATAAGGAGGGAAGGTAAGGAGAGAGAGAGTGGGTTTTTTACTGTGTCCTACCAGCTGCTGGCGAATTTTCAGGTGTTGCGGACCAACTGAACATCTCCACATCACGGATGATGTTTTGTCCTTAGCCAAAAGTTTTCGAGGCCAACTTTAATGACTAGGTGGATACAGTGGCACGGGAGCACTCCACAACCAGACGGTGGTTGTATCAAAGTTCTCGAGCTAAAGTTTTTTTTTTTTTTTTTTCCGAGGGACTCGGAGTGCAAGGAGTTAGAGAACTTTATTTGGATATGAAACGGAACTTCAAGGCCCCTCATTTTTTTATTTTTTTTGGGAAAAAACTAGTAACATGCATCTCCTCGACTACGCCAAGCTTTGGTGGTACACTCTAACTGAGTAATACCTCGAAGAAGGAACCGAAGGAGTCCTCCTCCTCCTCATCCTCTTTTTTTATTTTTATTGTGGCAACCAATGAGCACTTACAAGCAAGAACTGTGACGACCCTGATTTTGTAAGTCAGTGTGTTTTGTGATGAATCGAAATTTAACTCGATAACGAATTTGAAATGCGAAAGCGAAAACATAAATAAGGTATATAGGGATATACAATATCCCTAGGACGCTAAAGTGATCTTCTATGTGTTCGCGGAACTTCACGAGAACTGACGCGAAATAAAAGAACAAAAAAAGACCAAAAGAAGTCCCCAAGGGTAAAATGGTCCTTTTTACATGGAAGCAACGTCTCAAGAAATGCATATCATTCCCAAGACACATCCGGAAGTCATGAAATCCAAAGAAAGCAAGCGGAGGCAATAAAAAAGAAAAACTGGGCAAGTTTAGCCCCAAGGACAAACTGATAATTTTTTAAAAATATCCAAGTGTAACCGAGTACACCAATGGATTGACAACGAAAAATTAATCAAGTTAGACTCAAAATTCGTTTGATTCGGATTCCGAACGAAAAAGATATGGCCTATCGACGAAAAACGAACAAATAACGTATAAAAGGGCAAACTGAAAATTTTTCAGAAAGATCTGGGTGCAACCGAGCACACCGTTGGAAAGATAGCGAAAAAAATAATAAATTTCGAAAAAAAATTCATCTTATTTGGAGTTTGGACGAAGGAGAACGAGCGAAAACAAAAATTGACGTCAGGATGTCGAGACAGGAGCACCATGGGTGCCCACGGCGCACTCCTAGTGCGCGCGCGCCAACGAACACCACCACGAGCATCCTTACAAGCACCCTGACATGTTATAGGCCTGCATAGATTTTGGAGTTTGAAATGCAATTTTGAAGGCCTAAATGGCATTTTTTGGAAAAAAGTTGTGAAGTAACCCCAAAAAAAAAATCATGTTTTTGTTTAAAATACTTTAATTGTTTTGATATTTCCCTGATTTTGTGCGCGGACTTGATCAACCCGTGTTCCGAAATTAAGGGGTATTACACCAACTCTTTCTCTCTGTTTTCCTCTCAAAACTCTCTGGTTTGTGTGTAACCCTATGCAGACATATAATGTTATATTTGTAGGCTTCTATACAAACTTAATTCTAATTCCAACCTAGTAATAAGTCGGCTACCCTAAGGAGAAGAAAAGAAAATAAAAGAAAAATACATAAGTCAGCTAACCCGTGAAAATATAAAAACCCTAGAATTATATTACAAATTAATTAATGAATAAAAATATAATTCAATTATTAATAATTATTAATAATTAAACTAATCCACTTATACATATATACCCATATATACATGTCTAAACATTCATGGGTATTAACCGTACCCATTTAATCCATACCATCCAATCCCATCCTTAATAACATTAAACACTTTAATTTAAATATTTAATTCAAGTCACCTATGCTATAATTTCAATTAAACAAATAAGGCCAGTTAGACAAATAAATTAATTTAAACCATTAATGAACATCCACAAAAGCATATAATGTAAGTAACACAAAGAAATCAATTCAAACAATTAAACAATTAACAATTAAACAAATTGACAAATAATCAAGTAAAGAATTTAAAAATGCACAAAAACCATAAAAGAAAATACCGAAACTATCCTTTTAAAATTAGGAGTATTACAAATCCTTTCATCCATGCCCCTACGGGAAAAAGAAACAACCGGCAAGCTTTTCTCCAAAAATAAAGTTAAGCATTTCGAGAAAATCAACTGGAATGAAAACTCGTGAAGTCAAAACTCAACTCCGAACACGGAAAGTGAGGTTATGCCAACAAAGTGACAAACGGGAAAAGCACGAAAAGTGAATACTGTCTAAAAAATGAAAATGTGGAAATGATTCGGTCATTAAAGAAAGTTGTCAATCCAAATGAAAGAGTCTAGGAAAGAGTCTTGGAAATCATTTCTGAGTACTAGAGACGACACTAAGTGATGAGTAACTGAACTCAGAAAAGAAAATTTAACGGAAAAAATTTATCCGTAAAATTTGAGAAAAAGGAAAGGAAGAAAAATGACCGGGTCATTACAAGAACAACAATAAACTCTAGAGAACAAACATACCATAACCAACCTAATAAACCAAAGAAACAGTCACCCCCAGAAGAAACAAGCAAAAGCATAAAACTCAAGGCATCGCCTTGACAGCCACCCAAAGGATCAATTTGACTCGGTTAACCGGGTTGAGAAGCCCTGTAATACCCCTAGTTTTCAAAAGGATAAAATGGGAATTTAATTTTGATTTTATTACATTTTTATTTAATTATGTGACTTTTGTGTTTTGTGTTCTTAATTGATTTATGGTGAATTTGTTTTATGTGTATTTGCTTAATTGATTATTTTTGTGTATTTAAATTAATTATTAATTAGAAATTGTTTTAATTTAATTGTTGATGTGTTTGGAATGTTTTATTTAATTATATTTATTTATTTATTTTCCTTGGTTTGTTTGTTTTAAATGTCTTATTTTATTATCAATTTGACTCGGTTAACCGGACTGAGAAGCCCTGTAATACCCCTAGTTTTCAAAATGATAAAACGAAAATTTAATTTTGATTTTATTACGTTTTTATTTAATTATGTGATTTTTGTGTTTTGTGTTCTTAATTGATTAATGATGAATTTGTTTTATGTGTATTTGCTTAATTGATTAATTGATTATTTTTGTGTATTTAAATTAATTATTAATTAGAAATTGTTTTAATTTAATTGTTGATGTGTTTGGAATGTTTTATTTAATTATATTTATTTATTTGTTTTCCTTGGTTTATTTGTTTTAAATGTCTTAGTTAATTATCTATTTAATTGTAATGGACGTAACTGTTTGGTCATTTGTTAATACAGTGTTTACGTATATTTAAGTTTAGGGTTTTGTTTTATGTAATTAGGTAAGCCGACGTATAAGTAGGTTGGTATTAGGATTAGGGTTTTTACAGAAGCCTATATATATAGAACAATATATGTCTGCAAGGGTTTGACAAACCCTATTCACGTATTACCTGGAGAGGGGAAAACAGAGGCTCTTGAATGGTTTTGAGAATAAACAGAGAGGGTCTTGGGAGATTTAATAAAGGGAATTGCTTGTGGGTTGAGCCAAGGAGCAACCTAGGTAGAGAGCAGTGGACGGAGGAGGAAGGAATGGTCTTGAAGTTGCCGGATTATAGAGACGACGTTTTAAGGTTTCAAACCGAAACCTAAAGGTAAGTTTCATTCTATCTCCTTCCTGTAAACTTGTATTCTGTGCATTCTATATAGTCTCTAGGGATTAATTCAACTTTTAAAGCTGATGGTTGATGCATGTTATTTCGGACTGTAACTTGTTTTACGTTTAAATAACTGAAATCGGTTTCTTGCATAAACTGTGTTGTTTTTTTTATTTAAACTTCTGTCAATAAATTCACAATAGAATTTGAGGAGTTTCTAGGACTGTTGGGACTTATATTGAACCTTAAGAACTTTAAGAAAATTTGGAACAGAGGACTAAAACTTTGCCGGAAGAAGAAGCGGAGAAGGAAAAACGGAGGCTGGGTGAGTGGAGGCGGCTCCACCCTTCAATGGAGGCGGCTCCATTGAAGTGGAGCTGAATCCACAAGGTGTTGAGGTGGCTCCAATGTGGGTGGAGCCGGCTCAACCTAAAATTGGAGCTGGCTCTACCTTTTGTAATTGCCCAGAAATTATTTTCGGGTAATTTTCTGAGTCCAGGGGCTTAAATGGAATTTTTGGAAACTATTGTGTGGTTTTAAATGTTTAAAATTAACTTGTTAAAGCCTTAAAATAGTTGGTTTATGCTAGGGTACTAATCCTAAGGGGCATCATGAAACATAAACAAATAATAGGCATATTGTCAAGGAAGGAAGGAGGAAGGTGTAAATCGTTAGTTTGTTTTAGCAACTTAAACGGACTGGTGTTAAATTATTTCTGGGATGTTATATAAATAATATATATAATTTAATGAAGGCCAGAAAGGTTGGTTTAGGATGTGGTTATAGACATCATGAACTTTAGGTACTAAATTGCGTGCTGTCAGGAGTTGAGGAAGTTTCCCTCGCTGGTTATGTTTTAACCAATTTAAATGGATTAGTATAAAACACTATTGGGATTTCATATAATGTGTATTTTAGACTTCTGAGTGTCATTATACCACGCACAAGTTTTATAATTGGGGATTAAATGGACGTCATGGGATTTAAAGATTAATTTACATGCCGTCAAGGATTGAGAAGGTTTTAAATGCTAGTCTTCGTTTTATCAATGCGAATGAACCAGTATGGAAGAATTGGTTGGGAATTCTAATATAATGTTGCTCAGTTTATAATTCTGATAATCATTATAACATGTTATGGATGTTAATTGCTGAACTGTATTAAATTTTTGTTCTGTCAATTATATGAAAATTGATGGTGTAAATTGTTTATTATTATTATAACAATTTAAAAGGAGGATCTATGATTCATGATAGGATCTTAATATTATCTGATTTCTATTATGCTGGTTTCTGGATATACTTGATGTTCATTTGAGTGTGCATCATTTGTAGATCATATGCATTATATGCACCGGTATGGGACGGTGGCATATCAGAGATGGATTAGATCAAAAAGTTAAGTCCTACCTCTTCATATGTAAGGAATGGATTAACTAAAACAGTTAAATCCTACATGGATGCATGTCCTGTCAACTAAAATAGTTGAACGACATAACAGATGTTTGCTCTATATTTTTCTGCAATAGGAAGGATAAGGATTTAATTGAAACATTTAAATCCTAAGTAAATGTCGTGTCTTGGCAATGAACAGTTGAGCGGCACTTCATTGGTTTTGGATGGAATTTATATATATATTTATGTTACCACGATATGAGCTTGTGTCTTAGGATCGATGGTTAGGGAGCGTATATGCATTGGGATGCATAACTGGCTATGATGGTTTGATGTGTGCCCTGTTAGGTCTGCTAGTCAGGTTGAGACAGGCCTGTTGTCCAGGGAAAGTCCTGTAGTG